TAGCATTCACTCACTCACTAGATACATACCATACAACAGGCAAATGTGGCTGTGGGTTCACCATAGGCTGTGTAGCATTCACTCACTCACTCACTCACTCTCTCACTCAGGTCTCAGAAAATATATATAGCGTCAAGTTCTCGCTACATACGTAATTGTTACATCTTACAGTGCACCATTTCTTTACTTTACATGCCATTAATACTTCCTGAAAGGACCCTTGAAATCAGTATTCGGGGGTTCCCCGGACCCTGGTTTTGTAAGTCAAGGTAAACCCCTGAGAGTGTCGTATGTGTTGCAAGCAGTACCTTGTCAAAGCCCTTGGTGCCACCGTGCACGTAGTTGTTGGCCTCCTGGCGGTCATTGGCGTTGAGGTTGTAGGTCTTCCCGTCCAGGTCGAAGCTGGCTCCGGCAATACGGTCTGCCACACGGCCCACAAGGGCACCCATGTAGATGGGGTTGGCTTGGTAACCTTGGACAGAGGGCTGACATTAGAGACAAGTCAACATCCTGAAGACACGTCACAACCAGCTCGTAAACTGCGGACGTAATCAGGATTTGACACATGCAAACAAACACGTCTACGTGTTTCTAAGGAATATATAGGTTTGATATATTGGAGGTCAACAGTGACCAAGAGTATTAACAGAGTAAACAACCGGGTTAGAATTTGGCTTCAGTAGCCCATGCTTGTTCTAAGAGGAGATTAACGGGATATGACTGGCTTGATGCTCATGATGTCTATCACTGGATTAGCTGGTTTGGATTCAATGATCAATTACTGGATTAGCTGGTTTGGATTCAATGATCAATTACCATGTACCATGTGCAACACACTCACTCACTCATACCTTCAATGTCATCAAAGCCCGGGCAGATGTCCGCGATCTTCCCCTCTCTGTCAGGGACCCGGATCTCCGTGATGGTGCCGCCGTAGTTGATGATGCGGACAACGACGTTGTTTTTTGTTGGTCAACGTAAACCTGGAACCGGTTATACAACAATACCAACGACGATCCCTTGTCGGTACGCTCCAACAGCAACACCTGGTCGCGACTAGATGTTAGTGATGCTGAGGTTATATAGTGCTAAATCCAACCGCTAAGTGGGTGCTCAAAGTGTTGCATGTGACTCTGGGCGGTGCTCATGGCTTGATATCAGCCAATGGTATATCGAGCCTGGAGTGAGTGAGTTTAGTTTTACGCCGCACTCAGCAATATTCCAGCTATATGGCGGTGGTCTGTAAATAATCGAGTCTGGACCAGACAATCCAGTGATCAACAGCATGAGCATCGATCTGCGCAATTAGGAACCAATGACATGTGTCAACCAAGTCAGCGAAACTGACCACCCGATCCCGTTAGTCGCCTCTTACGACAAGCATAGTGACCTTTTATGGCAAGCACATGGGTTGCTGTAGACCTATTCTACCCCGGATCTTCACGGGTCTCGAGCCTGGAGTGAGATCTGTACAAGATTGTGTCTGGACCATTTGATATATCGCGAACACGGAGGTGTTTAACACAAGGATATCACAACAGCTATGAACACATAAACAAGTTAAAGAAGTTGGAAGGTTTCGTGTGGCAATACCGGTACAGATTAACTATGGCCCTAAGAACAAGGCTATCCTTCAATAACCCTTGAGTAGGATAGTTATTACACAGGACCAGTGTATTACAGTTACAGCACTCATGGCAGCATCTAGGCGGGACACGGGAGCATGTCCCCCTTTAACGGTAGTGTATTAACGGGACATTAATGTCTCGACCTGAAGCTGACCTGACTGACGGTCATCACACACCTGGTCACCTCGTTCCCGTCCCTCGTCTGACCATAGCTGTCCTGTGTAACGCGCGGCATAGTGGACAATGGATGACTGTGGTACACGCCCGACTTGACTCTCGACTCCTGGCCACAAATGTCTCTCACTGCGACAAGCTACCTCCTTGCTGCCCTGATTCCTGAGTTTAATCTCTCATAGGTCAGTGGAGACATATTTCAGTTACCTCCCTTCGGTTTACTAAATTCATAACATCATAGTCAAGTTTCTGTTTTGATTCTGTGTTGAAACTGTGACGGACTATACTTTATGTTGATAATTTGTTCATAGAACTCGGTCTTAGTTTTGTCAAAAGCTAAGATGAAAGATGGCATTTGCACGTTGAGTTTAAAAACAACATGTATCTAGAGTTCTATTTTTGACGATTTGACATATATCATTAAAAAGTTGGGGATATTCCATTTGTGGTGATATTATTTGGGAACCAGGTTGAATAATTGTATATGGAGGGGGTAAATACAAATTTATCTTCTACCGACATTAGTTTAGAATTTACTGCATTATATATTCCAGTAACCTACCATCTTGACGCTTCCGATAATCTGTCACGTGCCACGATAAGGCTTTGTACGGAGCATGCTGTCTGTGTCCCTGTAGTGATCATGACCAGTCTGTGTCAGATAGGTCATTAGTAGTGTGCTACAACACCATACACGCTGACATAGCCAACGGTATGGCTAGGAAATGGGACATAATATCTAATACATAGACAAAACCATCACTCATTTTCAAAACTTTCCTTTCCCTCATTTCTATTTTCGCTTTGGCGGTTCCTAAGTACATTGTAATTGCCAAGTGAATATTTAAAAACAATAATCATTGTAACAATAATCATCCGGCGCTCGTGAAACAACACGAGGCGTAATGACGTGAGGTGAGGTGAGATTGGGTTTAACGTCGTGCTTGAGAATATTTCGCTCATATGACGACGTGTGTATGTGTGTGTGCGGCTGCTTGTACTAGCCCAGACTTAAGCTGGTTTTATAGTGCTAGCCCACTGAGATACCATGCCGCAGTGAAGCATGAATACCCCACTCAGACATATTATACTGACTCCGAGCCGACCAGTCCTTGTTGTACCCATTAATGCCGAGCGCCAGGCAGGGACCAACAAGTACCATATTTTAACGTCTTTTGGTATGACGCAGTCGGGGATCGAACCCGCGACCTTCCACTCTCCGGGCGGACGCTCTAACCACTACACCTCGGAGGCGGTCCCATAGGTCAAGACCTGTGTGCCATTGTACAAAGCGATCTTAGCGCTAAGTGACCGTAACTCCCATACCATAACATAGACTTTTAAATATTATTCGACCACAACCTCACTTCCGAGGAAGAAATCGCTATGTTACAAGTTGTGTCATGGAAAATCTTTATGGTCATCAATCATATACATATTTTACTACAACTAGTAAGTAGTTTTGATTCTTTAACTTCCGTGAAGCGATCTGAACACAAGTAAGATATCGTTTCAGGCTTCCACAACGCTCGCTTCGCACTCACAAACATAACCCATTTAGCACGAACTGCGGGGTCCTGTGGAAATCTGTGCATGGTGACACCATCGCCCGACCCCTAGGAGCAATTGACGACAAAGCAACGATTCGGCATGTCGTCGTTGATGTCGAGAAATCATCAAAATGATGAGCGTGCTACACACTTTCTATACAACTAACTGAAAATCGTTCCTCATATGACGTCACTGCAGTGCTCTGGTGACAGAGTTACGTAACCTGTCTGTGGTTTCGTTAGCGGGCGAGAGTGAAGCAGGCGACTTTTTGGCAACTTTTAATCGCTCGGTATTAATTAACCACAAGTTTTTTAAGAATGAATTTGGTGTTCCGCATAAGTCTAACCACAAATCTTTCATATGTAAATGTAAAAAGAGTAAAAAAAACCCCAAAGTTTATTTGTTCTTTAAGGCAGTCTTAGCGCTAAGGTGACCGTAACTCCCATACCATAACATAGACTTAAGGCAGTCTTAGCGCTAAGGTGACCGTAACTCCCATACCATAACATAGACTTAAGGCAGTCGTAGCGCTAAGGTGACCGTAACTCCCATACCATAACATAGACTTAAGGCAGTCGTAGCGCTAAGGTGACCGTAACTCCCATACCATAACATAGACTTAAGGCAGTCGTAGCGCTAAGGTGACCGTAACTCCCATACCATAACATAGACTTAAGGCAGTCGTAGCGCTAAGGTGACCGTAACTCCCATACCATAACATAGACTTAAGGCAGTCGTAGCGCTAAGGTGACCGTAACTCCCATACCATAACATAGACTTAAGGCAGTCGTAGCGCTAAGGTGACCGTAACTCCCATACCATAACATAGACTTAAGGCAGTCTTAGCGCTAAGGTGACCGTAACTCCCATACCATAACATAGACTTAAGGCAGTCGTAGCGCTAAGGTGACCGTAACTCCCATACCATAACATAGACTTAAGGCAGTCGTAGCGCTAAGGTGACCGTAACTCCCATACCATAACATAGACTTAAGGCAGTCGTAGCGCTAAGGTGACCGTAACTCCCATACCATAACATAGACTTAAGGCAGTCGTAGCGCTAAGGTGACCGTAACTCCCATACCATAACATAGACTTAAGGCAGTCGTAGCGCTAAGGTTGTTTTGCACAACAGCTCCCAGGACAACTTCTTTCAGTGGCATTTAGAAGTTGATGTCTTGGACGAGGAGAGTTCTGTGGATATACAACTTCTGTATTACCAATAAGAGCGACGTTTCGGTGTAGTAGCTAAACGTCGCTCACATTAACAATAAAGAAGTTGTATATCCACAGAACTCTCCTCGTTGTTCAAGACCAGGACAGTATACATAATGTATGTAGGTAATGTGATAGGAGATTAAGTAAGATAAGCAAGAGAGACAACAACGGCCTGAATAAGCCCGTGTGTACAGGTCACACACCAGGCAAAGTTTACCGACAGCCGCTTGATTCCTAATAGTCTCTAGACCTCGTCTCTTCCCCGCACTGAAGTATATATTGCACATATGAAGTCTCCTTTCACTCGTGATTCGGTTCGAAATGGGAACTGGCCATTCTGCAGGAAACGTTGGCGTATAATCCACCCAGAGTCCTTTCAAGACCAAATGGAGGTCTTTCTTCGTTTCATTTACTCAACCACATCGATGCTACACCAAAATATATTTATTACCGTAACGACTGCTTGTAATATCATACGTATACCCAGATTATAACATAATCAGAAAAGAATGTATATCGTTAATTTTTACAATGAAATGTCTAAAAATGTTATGAGATTCGAACGCAACATTCACACGTAATATCGATACAGATCACATGTCAATGAAAGTGTCGTTCATCCACAACCATGAAAACACTGCTGCATCCGGGCGGTCTCACGCCGGACAGATCTATGACGTCATGACTCCAAACCGATAGGTGGTGCTCTGGCGGTAGGTCTCTCCAGGGCGGAGGATGGTGTTGGGAAACTTGGGCTAAACAAATGAGAAGCATAGCGTCATCACTATCTCCTGCCATGGGGCCTGGATGAGTATGTCCACATCGTAGTTAACATAGATGGAGAAAGGGCGAATAACTCCCCATAAAAATTTACGGCATTAGTTTTATTTATTGAACAAATATCTCTTAGAAAGACGTGCAAGCTTTCAATAATGCAATGTCAGCAGTTTGTGAGAAAACCTGTCCCCATTGCAGGCACTATGCCCCAGTTACACCAAGAAGACACAAACCTGTTGGGGTTTTCTTAATGTAAAAACATTAGTTTATGTTCATCCCGTTTTTAGAAATACCAAATCATTAAGTGTAGCGTGTGTTTCATACATGTGCAAAGTTTCAAAATAAAATATTAAATGGTATACGAGTTACGGAACCGAAAAGAAACAGGAACAGAATTCGTAGTGTGGGATGATTTAAGCACCGCTTGTCCCGAGAGGGTATGTGTGTTTGTTGTGACGATGTCATACACAGAAAGATTCAAACTACATGACGGCGTCTGTAAATAATCGTTGCACGACACGCTTTCTATGTAATAAGTTCTTGACATAAACTCCACATCTCTTCACGGTATCACTTCATGTACAACTTGAGCATTTCGCGGTGAAGGGGACATGATATGGGGCGTAGTGGTGTGTTCCTTTATCTGTGTATTGTGACTTTGTCTTCCTCTAGGAGTGTGTGCCGCGCGTTATCTAGTGCAAGAAATCTTATACAGAAGTATGCCATAAAGTAAATAAATGTGAGAACATCACGGTCAGGAATGTGAATGGTGTAGACTCACGTTGTGGACGCTGTCGGGGTAGTGCTGGGCCTCGAGACAGAACGCCGAGTACCTCCCGTACATCGCCCCTCCCTTCCCGCGGTTGTTGAGCCAGTGTCCGGTGTAAAACATAAGGGCGGGTTCGGTGGTCCAACACTCGAAGTACCGGCCTGACCCCGGATGTTCGAATCTGAGGAAAAAACCAACTTGAAGTGAGTGAGTGAGTGAACGTTGTTACACGCCACAATCAGCAATATTCCGGCTTTATTACGGTGACCTAAGACACTGGAACATGGGTCCCGATCCACAAACCGTTCGTAACGTTACAACCTAGTGTAACTATATGCTACATTATTGGCTTACGAATGACGTAATGCAACGAACGCTTGGTCGAAAGGGTCCCTGGACCTCCAAGAAAATTCCTAATATGTATTTTGTTGTCTTTTTGAAATGACCAAATTGGCGTGGTCGACCACTTACCTGGCGGCAAACTCTTTGTTCCCCGTCACCTGCAGGTTGTAATTACAGGTGAAGCCTCTGCCCAGCTTGGGGTTGTGTAGCCGGTCACCAATACGTGTTGGTGTCCGCATGTCATGGGGCTGACCAGTCACTTCTAGGATTTCACCTACACACACATACGGTTAGAATTGTCAGCAGTAACCCATGCTTGTCGTAAAACGTCGATTAACGGGATCGAGTGGTCAGGCTCGCTGACTTGGTTGACATATGTCATCGTATCCCAATTGCGTAGATCGAAGCTCATGTTGTTGATCACTGGATTGTCTGGTCTCGATTATTTACAGACCGCCGCCATATAGCTGGAATATTGCTGAGCGCAGCGTTAAACAACAACCAACCAACCAACTAACACATGTATACAACAAGGCCATACATAGTGGAACCCCGCTAGTGAGAACCTTGTACACCACGGACACGTCTTGAGTGAGTATGGTTTTCACACCTGTTTCAGCGACATTCCTTGAATGTCACAGCCGGACACCGGAAATTGGATATTTTGTCATCTTCGGAGTCGACTTCCGTTTGAGGAGCGAACGCTGCTACCCTACCGCCTAGGCGTCTTGCACACTTGGACCCCACAAGTCTGGACCATGTAGATCCCGGACGTGGGGTCTTTAGTAAAACAAGACTACTTCAACCACTAACCCAGATACAGTACAACCAGAAATTATCGAGAATTTAAAGATTGTAAATTTTTAAAAAGAATTCACTCATTACACACGTATTAAATGTGAATATTAGCAGAACATAACTCCAGATTCAAAGACCGGTGAACAGTTAGTATTTTGTCAAGTCACCATGGGCAACAATGCAGGCTTCTATGCGGCGGGGCATACTACTGATCAAAAAAGTTAGAAAGTCGTGGTCCATGCTGTCCCAATATCGGACCACCTCTTCTTTCATTTCAGAAATATTTGTCAGATTTTTCTTATTGACACTTACCTTCATAAGTCCCCAAACATTTTCTATTGGATTTAGGTCAGGGCTATAGCTTAGCCAATCCAATAATGTCATATTATGGGTCCGAAACCAGGCCTGTGAATGCTTTGAAGGATGTTTTGGGTCGTTGTCCTGCTGGAAAATCGCAAAAATTTCCATAGAACACGCGAGCAGATGGAAGTAAATGTCCCTCGAGAATATCTGTGTACCGCTCACTGTTCATATTCCCTTCAAATACACAGAGGGGCGTTGCCCCTAACACAGATATGCCACACACACATTAAATTTCGGACTGTACTTTGGGCGCTGATACAAACAGTTTTCAGTTTGTTTGGTCCAGAATTTCAGTGTATTAGGAAACAGCCACACAGAACTTTCATCTGAGAAAATCACATTGTCCCAGTTAAAATTTCTATGCTGTAAGCACCAGTTCAACCTTCGCTCCTTTTGTTCAGGTTTCATGATCGGTGATGGAATTCCTCGACTTTTCTGCCAACCCATTGCATGCAGCTCAGTTCTTATTGTCTCCTTACAGACAGCCACAGTTCCTCTATCAATCATATCCAGCCTTAAGTTTTCTAAACTCCTTCGTTTGTTTTTAGAAACAAAAATACCAAGCCGCCTCCTGTCACCGACAGTCAATTTTCTGGGCCTACCTGCGCCTCCCTGGTGCTCAATGCCATATCCATTTGCAATAACACGATAAACAGTGGACAAAGGGATGCCTGTTCTACTTGAAATCACTTTAGCTGATCTGATGTCCTTGTTATAATACTCTAAAATCAACTTCCTCTTCTCTAAATCATCCATACTGAGGATCACTGAAAATGTCGTCTGCTAGAAAGTAAACAAGGGGGGATAACTCTTCACAAACTAATGAAAAAGGATTAACGGAGTTGTCTCTCTTGAATGAAACCAAGCACTTGATAGGTGGTCAAGATTGTTTATACTAGAAATCCAATAAAAAACATATTCCTAAAATTCTCAATAATTTCTGGTCATACTATACATGCTGAAACAAACTAATTTACTTGCTGCAGTACCCCTATTAACGAGGTATCAGATTATCTTTCTATCATAGACTTCCTGAGTGCAGGATAACGTTATTGCATTATGCAATACAGTCTATGTGTATGCACCTGTTGGTATATACAGGTCGTTCAGGGGTACATATGTGTCAGCTTTCACTCTGCCGACGTGGTTCTCTAACTCTGCTGCTCCTGCGCCCTGAAACAGTGAACAGTATTACAACTTGGAGATTGGCTACACCAGGGTATCTAGTCAAGGGTACGAGTTTAGTTAGTTCTATGTTTGCCCCTGAAACAGTCACCAGCATTGTACAACATGGAGATCAGCTATACAAGGGTATCTTGTCAGGGGTACAAAATCTGATATTTAGTTAGGTGGTGTTTTGTTTGTAATGTCTGTGTTCCCAAGAATATAGGGAAACAAATCCGAAATCATATCTCATCATGATCTGCCCAAAGACATTGCTGCCTTAACAATAGGATAATCACAATGGGACCCTGGGTGGCAAATAGGTGCACCAGGAAAGATCAAGAAAACGTAGGTCTACACTCAACTGAAGCCCGAAGTACTTGACCAGACTCTATGAGAAGTCATGGTGTTTCCCTGCGTGCCCATTACTTGCAGTGTTAAAACATAACGCCTGTTAAAATAATGGAAAGTGGTCAAGTGTAGCATGTGTGTTAAATTCGGGATTACACCTGTTTATAGTCTGTTTGCACTGAAAAACGTACCGATGAATTTCACTTTAAACAAAAAAGTAAATCAAATAAAGTGAAATTAAGAATGCGAATCCTCATAATTTTACCTTGCCAATTGAACATTTAAATTTCAAAATTTTATTCAAATTAAAAGTTGTTTAACAAATTATCATAGTTTCAAATCGCTACTATTGGTTTGTATTACAAGGGGGTGCGCGCAGTAGTTGGAACAGTGAAACAAATGCACGTGCGGTGCGTGATTAGCCTTAACTTAGACTACCGTAGACGCCAACCCTTCCAGTTCTAGGTGTTTCATTTAATGTGCATACCCCCTTGCAATACAAACCAATAATTTGAAACTATGATCGTTTGTTAAACAACGTTTAACCTAAGTTAAAATACAATTCTGAGATTTTAATGTTCAACTGGCAAGGTAAAGTTATGAGGATTCGCAATCTTAATTTCACTTTATTTGATTTACATTTTTTGTTTAAAGTGAAATTCATCGGTACATTTTCACTGCAAACAGACAATAGTACACGTTACATTACTCACGTGTCCGGCCAAGTTGAAATACACATGGTTGGTGAGGTTGATGGGCGTGGTCTTGGTGGTTGTGGCTGTATACTCCAGAGTCAAGCCATTGTCGTCGTCTAACTCATACGTCACCACCGTGGTTACCTCCCCTGGAAAGTTCTCCTCTCCATCAGGGCTGACATATTTCAACACTAACTTACCCCCGTCTATGGCCGCATCCCACAGCATCTGTTGAAAACAGAATTTGGACAGAGCTGTTTACCAACAGGGGCATACGACATCATACACTGTTACGTTAATGTTTACAATTAGATAATTACTCATAAACCCATTTTTTGGACAGAGTCGAACAAAGATACCATACATCATGTTTTACCGGCCATACCTTGTCAAAGCCCTTGGTGCCACCGTGCAAGAAGTTGGGTGCCTCCTGCAGGTCATTGGCGTTGAGGTTGTAGGTCTTCCCGTCCAGGTCGAAGGTGGCTCCGGCAATACGGTCTGCCACACGGCCCACAAGGGCGCCCATGTAGATGGGGTTTGCTTGGTAACCTTGGACAGAGGGCTGACATTAGAGACAAGTCTGACACTCATCTGTGTCCAGGTCAGCACTTGGTGTCGCGATCGTAAAAAGGTGAAACCCACTCACTGTCTGTCCCTGTTGTACCTTCAGACGGTGAAACCTTCTCATCAGCTTCCATACCATCTTCCCATCAGCTTCCGTACCACTTTCTCATCAGCTTCCATACCACCTTCCCATCAGCTTCCATACCACCTTCCCATCAGCTTCCGTACCACCTTCTCATCAGCTTCCATACCACCTTCCCATCAGCTTCCATACCACCTTCCCATCAGCTTCCATACCACCTTCTCATCAGCTTCCATACCATCTTCCCATCAGCTTCCATACCACCTTCCCATCAGCTTCCATCATCAGCTTCCATACCACCTTCCATACCACCACCTTCCCATCAGCTTCCATACCACCTTCCCATCAGCTTCCATACCACCTTACCATCAGCTTCCATACCATCCATACCACCATCAGCTTCCATACCACCTTCATCATCAGCTTCCAGCTACCATACCACCTTCCCATCAGCTTCCATACCATACCCTTCTCATCAGCTTCCATACCACCTTCCCATCAGCTTCCATATACCACATCAGCTTCCCATCAGCTTCATACCACCTACCACCTTCCATACCATCTTCCCATCAGCTTCCATACCACCTTCTCATCAGCTTCCATACCACCTTCCCATCAGCTTCCATACCACCTTCTCATCAGCTTCCATCAGCTTCCATACCACCTTCTCATCAGCTTCCATACCACCTTCCCATCAGCTTCCATACCACCTTCCCATCAGCTTCCATACCACCTTCTCATCAGCTTCCATACCACCTTCTCATCAGCTTCCATACCACCTTCTCATCAGCTTCCATACCACCTTCTCATCAGCTTCCATACCATCTTCTCATCAGCTTCCATACCACCTTTCATCAGCTTCCACCCATTACCACCTTCTCGGCTTCCATCAGCTTCCATACCATCTTCTCATCAGCTTCCATACCACCTTCCCATCAGCTTCCATACCACCTTCTCATCAGCTTCCATACCATCTTCTCATCAGCTTCCATACCATCTTCTCATCAGCTTCCATACCATTTTCTCATCAGCTTCCATACCATCTTCTCATCAGCTTCCATACCACCTTATACCAACATGACTAGCTAGCTTGGTGGACCAAGAAACCCTCCATGTATCTTCCACTCACTCATACCTTCAATGTCATCAAAGCCCGGGCAGATGTCAGCGACCTTCCCCTCTCTGTCAGGGACCCGGATCTCCGTGATGGTGCCGCCGTAGTTGATGATGCGGACAACGACGTTGTTTTTGTTGGTCAACGTAAACCTGGAACCGGGTAGTGAATACAGAAGCGAGAAACTAAACCACGACGCCAGTGTTGGACCAGTTGTCAAGTTACATAAACTATACCATCGGTGTTCCTACCGTGATAACACAAACCATTTGATGAGATGATTGTTCAATAAATTAACAATGACTATTGTTGAACTGTTGAGTTTTTTGTAGTCACAACCGCTGCATAATTCAGACCCAAAGACCGATCCCGTGGATTACGACAATGGTCCCCGGTAACGTTTGCTTGTGTGTCATTGTGGACGCCGAGACTTACACTAACATTATAGAATCAATCAATGGCCTTTCGACTGACTGACTGACTGACTGTGTTTGGTTTTACGCCGCCTTCAGAAATATTCCAGCAAAATTACGGCGGGGCACACCAGAAATGGGCTTCACACATTGTGCCCATGTGGGGATTCGAACCGGGTCTTCGGCGTGACGAGCCAACTCTTTAACCATTAGGCTACCCCCACCGCCCCTATGGCCTTTCGAATTGTAGACTGTATTTGTCGTCATGTCGTTCTGATACAACTCAAAGTCTGCTGACAATAGAACCATATCAAAGCAACTATTAACATACTCTGTCGGTCAAAAGGAAGTTACAAGATCTCTAAAAATGCATCAAACAGGAAACCCTATATTCGATAGTGATGACATATCATACGGGAGCGATATTGCACTTAGAACAGCAATATGCACTTCACAATATGGGACATAATTCCTCGTAACGTCTCTGGGATTATTCTGGGTATTCAGCAGAGGAAAGTGTGTCTGCCCATGTATACAATTTCTTTTGCTTGACAGTCGAGTTCGTATAGCGTGACACTGGCCTCACGTACGCAACTCATAGAAGCGTCTATACACTGAGCACTGGAGAGAAGCTATGGAAGCGGCCCCACTTGAACTTGGTAATACCTGACGTGTAACAAGTTACGTGACGTGCATGTTTTTAACCTGAAGCTGACCTGACGGACAGTCATCACTCACCTGGTCACCTCGCTTCCGTCCCTCGTCTGACCATAGCTGTCCTGTGTAATGCGCGACATGTTGGGCACTGGATGAGTGTTGTACACGCCCGACTCGACTCTCACTGCGACAAGCAGTTACCTCCCTTTGATTTACAAAATATGCATAAGAATTTCTTTCTTGTAGGTTCAGTTTGACAGCTGTGGTGATCGATGCATCATTTTGTTCACTTTGTAGTTGCAACCTCCTTCCAGTGTAAGCAAAACTACGATGACAGTATCGGTGGGAATGCTGTTGTTGATTTTGTTAAGCGACACTGCTCCCAAACCAAAATATTTTCTTATCATACTGGCCCATGGACGGCTGCGAGTTTCTGATGTAACTTGACGACTTGTTCAATGCCCACGTAGTCAGGCTCATGGATGCTGTCATCTTCAGTGGATCCGACCATATATGCAGATCAGCATCCTTCCTCATCATCACTCGTCCACGTATCCCCCACGTATTGTAAAGTAATTACAGTAGTACATGGGACATTATGTGACAATGGTTACCACGCCTAATTGAACAAAAATAAGACTTACTACAGATTTGACAAAAGTGAATCACGTATTATACTTGTTTCTTTATGTTACTAAATCACTGTGGGTTTGTGTTACTTTTTGTTTGTCGGGGTATTTTTGGGTTATTTACTTACTAGAGTGAGGGTCATTTTCTCCAAACTGGCTCCAAAGAGAATTAGCAATATACATTATACTTTGACAGATCAGTCCTCAGTTATCCACTGTTGATCTCCATTCTATCGACGATGCAAACTTTATTTATTGTTTTCCGTCCATATGATTTATATAACTCAACAGCCTTATCCAAATAGGAACTTAAGATAAATATTTTAATATTCAGTGCTAATTAAGTGTTATGTGCTGGCTTCTATTTGTTCCATTGTTGTACCTGCATCTTTGTTATCTTATTACTTTTGTTGTTCTGATATGTACATATATATGCTATCTGTCTCATACCATGCATTCACCTGATGGAGGAGTAAGGATATACTCCGAAACGTTGTGTTCATCATAATACAGAAGTTGAAATCCATACAAATTCTCTTCCTTATAATTTTTTTTATACTCAGAACTAAATTATTAATTCATTATAATTCATTATATTCATTGTAATTTATTATTTATTCATTGATTTCTTGTTTATTGCATAGACCGATGTTTCTAAGTAGATTCTTAGGCCCTAAGAAAGTTAAAAGATTGCAGGGTTGTATGCTTGTCATTTACTTATCAGCTTCAAGAACGTCGATCAAACAGTTCATCCATTCAGCTTTGTCGTTCTTAGTAAGAAAATGTGAAATATACAACGGAAGAGGTCATGTAAATTTGCGTCCACTAGCTTTGCGATATATCTATTTTTAGAAATCACCAAACTCTTAGTTGTGAGGTCACGATAACATTTTCTAGTGGTATAATTTATGAATTATCTTGCTTACCTCCCCATTCTTCGAGAACGCCACCTACAATACATTTTCCAAAATGTCGTATGACGGTCACCTTTCAAAGAGACAGAGAACAGACGATGGAATGCTCGGAATGCCTGGTTCAATGGTATCTGCATAATTTGCTCTAAGCTAGTATTTCTTACACATATGTTTCTGCGTTCAGTTTTGAAAATTAGAGGTTGTTTTGTTGAAAGTGTAAAAGTAGGTCAGGTCCAGGCGTTGTAAGGTGCGTGTGCGCCTCAGATTTCTTTGCTTTTGCTATTTGGTTGATATTTTCACTTCCTGTAAATGCCTTTGAAATGCAGTCTTACCAAAGAGCAGGTTTAAAGCAATATGTGTAGTGTATGGACATGTGAAATAGTATATAAAGTGGAGAAAATGGGTCTGATTTAGTAAAATGTGTGGACTGCATATGAAAGTGGTTCCCATGATCCTCTACGAGCGGCATGGTTTCCGGCCATGTTGGTTGTCGTTGTATGACTTCATTGTTCAGTCCATAATCTGATGCTCTCTCTATTTCAACTGCTGAATGATTTATCTCTTCACTGTTTCTGATTAAAAAGTTTGCTATAAATTTCATATTTAGATGGACGGGAATTAAAATTAGACCACATAAAATGGATGATAAAGAGGAACTGGAGCCAAAGGCCAGTAAAGCTTATTTTATTGTTACACCTGCATAAATAAGATATTTTATCCTTTAGTCTCTGAAACTTGCCTCTTATCTTTAGGGTCGACTTGCCTTTGCATTAGCTGTCCATACATTACTTTAAAACAAAGACAAATTTGGGATAGGCCTGCTCTGCATCCCAGTTTTCCCCCACATCCTTGGAATGGTTACTGTAACATTATCAAGAAGTCACCAAACTTAAGTATTCAAGCTCTTCTTGAGCATTTTTGGCACCTTTGTTTTATCAATGTCATATTTATGCTTTCCTAGTTGGAATAGCTGATTTCTTCCTTTTTAGTTGGTCGAACCAAGGAAATCCTTTCATGTTTACTGATACATCATTTATTTTTGTGTTGCAGGAAAAATTTGATGATCCCCACAAACCTGCACCATCATGTGTGGTGCATGTGCGAGGCCTGTCAGAGTCTGCCATAGAAGCAGACCTGGTAGAAGCCGTCCAGCACTTTGGAACTGTCAGGTAGAGAATGCGCATTATATTATATTATGTCTATGAAAAACAGTGGTACTGTTGATATCTTGCATGAAATAGTGTAAATTCTCAAACACAAAATATGAAGTGGATAGCTTTTCTCAAGAACCTTAACCAAGGATACATTATATATTTGTGCCTCGGAAACATATCTATAGGTAAGAGTTCCTCACGTTCCCCCATCCCAAATAATATGTATAAATATTCTAGAATTATAAACGAAACTTAACGCAACTAGAGAACACACAAAATGATTAAAAGTCCAAAATTTAAGTTAGGGCTAGGTTTAGGTTTAGAGTTGGGGGAACGGAAGGAACTCTTTCCTATCTGTATAAAGGATATTATAGTTTCCACATGAAAAGAGATTGATTCAAATCTAAGGTTAAACTTTGAAAGTTGTCAACCATTTTTCACACTTAATTTCAGAGATGTGATCATGATGCCCAGAAAGCGACAAGCACTCATCGAGTTTGAGGTAATAACAGTGAAAACATTTTGAAATTTTAGTTTTGTTTGAATAGAAAGGAAGTCTTTTTAGCTTTAATCTCATCCAGGAACTGCTTTGGAATTGACTTCCTCAAATTCCTATTGTTTGGTTGTCCCGGTAATTTAAAACTATCTTTCTGATTATGTCAATGGTTAGACCTAACCCCAGTAAGTGTGTGGCTGTTCACACGTTTCTATAAACGACTTTAGTATTTTGTTAATGAACAGGAGAGATAATTATATGGATATACCACTTCTTTTCATTGAATGCAATATTTCAGTGTAAATACAAACACTTATCATATCACTTGCTTCATAATGACATGCTCAGTACTTTGATAGACATGAAGATTGAATCTCTGGATATGTTTGCTGTTACAGAAACTCACTGGTGCACGGAACTGTGTTGATTATGCTCAGGTAAGATTTGCTTCCACTATAGTTAAGACTGTATGATTCAGTTTTATTTCATCTCCAAGATAATAGACTTCACATTTTTGTATAGCATTAATGTGAAAATGAAAAAGATATCAATCATTTTACCATGATACATATTTGTGATTCCCTGTACATGTCTCATTTCAGACTAGTGCTATTTATGTGGCAGCTCAGCCTGCATTCTTCAACTTCTCCACAAGTCAAAAGATCCAGAGGCCTGGGTATGTTTGTTGTGTATAAAACATAGCTTCAATTTTAACATTTGCATATTTAGGGACTCTCACAATTCAAAGGTTATAACAGCAAAGCTGAAGGACCAATCCACACCCACATAGTTGACTGGATGCTGTGTGCACACCCCAGACACTGTCCATCACGCAGTGTTATGTTCACACTTTCCTAACTCAGTGGAGTAATTTACTCTAAGAATTAGTTGCATTTTTGTATTTATATGATTAAGAAGGAGCAACAATACATGCCTCAATCCTTAAAATTGGTATGGTGCTCTTTATGGAACTAACTCTGTGAATGGTGCTTAGGCCTAAAAAAAAAGCTTGTGGTTCCGATTTCCCGACCGACCCTAAATATTCCCGCTGAGCCTAACAATTTTACTCACCACATAATAAATTAAATTTATTTTCTGACACATGAGTAATGTAAAAATATTTTGCAAAAAACAAACAAACCCTACCTACCTACCCTAGTTTTGAAATGTAGGAAATCGGAACCACGACATTTTTTTTATTTGGCCTTAGTAGTGTGTTATTCTAGTTATCTGATGTGATCTACCTTCATGATGTTACATTCTTTTAGCCAGTGTGTTCAGTTATGCTCTTTGCCTGTTGCAGAGACCCTGAGGATACCAGACCTGCCAATCATGTGCTGCTGTTCACCATCCTGAACCCTCAGTACCCCATCACAGTGGTATGTCAACCCTTTCTTTCTCTTGGAATGACCACATACTGGCAAATGTATATTCATTGCCATCCATGACTTCATTCATGTCCCTCCTTCCTTTCCCTGTCACAGTTGACGGTTGGTCTTGTGGTGACAGTGGTTCGTGAGATAAACAGTCTGGACAGCTGCTCTCTCTACTTAAGTGTGATAATGTATGGATGGGTAATTCCACTGTTATGTGCCACTGTAACCCTTGTTCACTTTCCCTACTCAATTGCTATTACACTTTTATATGTTACAACACTGTCGGTTTCAGGATGTGATGCACACAATCTGCAGTCCCTATGGACAGGTTCTCAGAATTGTCATCTTCAAGAAGAATGGTGTTCAGGCTATGGTTGAGTATCCTTTGTCCTATCTCAGCAGTTGATGAGATTTGGAGTTGAAAATTAGTACAAGAGTCACATCCACCTATCTGAATTTCTATCATGTTTGACGTTTCCTTTTGGGTCCTGGGAATTACTTAAACCTTCTTAGATGTCCAGATCGGACCATGACATTTCAAGCAAAACTTAGTACAAATTCCCACTGATTACTGATTATCCCCTGTCGCACGTTTAGCGCGAAGCGCGGGATATAGTATTCGGGTCCGTACGTACGTACCAGTGTTCACGAATGGTGTCAAGAACCATTCACTGGATGTTCTTCATATTTAACACCAAGCTTTATCCAGGGAAGGCGCCAGAGCCCAGTCAATTTTGGTGACCTTCACTTAATTTTCAAGGTCACAGAGACACTTTGAAGATTTCAGCATGTTAAATTGCTTGTTAAAATAGTCAGCAAGATATCGCAAAAATATTCAGTGGATTTTCTTCATATTTGACACCAAGCTTCATCTAGGGAAGGCCCTGGGCCCAGTCAATTTTGGTGACCTTCACATAATTTTTAGGGTCATGACGACACTATGAAGATTTCAGAATGTTAACCTGAATTGTCAGCAAGATATTTTAAGAACGGTTCACTGGATTTTCTTCATAGACTTTCAAGACCTCCGTTGAATGTTTTTCAATAAGCAATTTCTTTAGTACTAGTTTTGCATATTTCATACACATGACATTCATGTCAAGGTCAAAGTCAGTCTTGAAAATATGTGTGTGTTTGAACAACTAAAGAGCAAGATAATGTTTTTGTTGACATTTAACTTCATCTTAAACTTTCATTACTTTATAAGTTTGATTTGATAGTTTGCGGCGGGGGATTATGTCACCTTAGTCACTATCATGCTTATGCTTGTGTTTGTTTTGACTGGTAACAGGATCAGTGAAGATGCTTAAAATTACATTAATGCATAGTTAAAATGCAATGTAAAAATACATATGAATTTAAGAAAAGAATATTCTAGAAAAAGAATTTTACTTATTCTTTATTTAGAAGTCCCAATCATAATTTTGGGTTTTTTTTCAACATGCTTTTATTTGCCTTTATTAAATATGGGTCTTTCACGTGGAAATATGAGGGTTCTGTAAAGTGATAAAATGATACAGCATACTAATTTTTAACTTATCCTATCTCCGACTTCTCTCTCTCTCTTCATTCGACCATGAGTGGAAGCAATTAAAACTTTGCTCAAGACCTACCTTGCCCCTCTCCCGTGCTGTGCATGCCTTCCTGTCTCAGTCGTGCTCACTAGTCCATGACAGCCGCGAGGGCATCGCGAGTCCTCACCCGTGATCACCTCACATACTCATTCTCTTTCTTGTCGGCTCCACTGAGTGGGCGTGGAAAATTTTTCGTCAGAGAATTGCTCAAAATGGTTAAGCCTGTTAAGGCCAGTAAGCGGAAGTTTTGCGTCCGTTGTAATAAAGTATTTTCAGCATGGGACCCTCACACATCGTGTGTTGATTGTGTGGGTGCTTGTGACTGGGACCTGCAGCTGTTCTAAGTGTTCAGGTCTGTCTAATGAAGGCGTTTAAATCTTACAAAGCGTGCTTGTGCCAGGCGTTTGGCAGATAGGGCTAGGACTATTTCTCGGGGTCTGGTCCATCTCCGCTAAGAAACAATGCTTAGATCGCCCCACCCTCACTGCTCCACGTTCTCAATCGGCCGTCTGCGCCTGGCGAAGATTTTATGGGCCTTCGTCAGATTCCTATTTATCTGAGAGCGTGAGAGCGGCTTTTAGGAGGTTCCTCACCCAGTTCGTTCTCAGGAGGCGTACCAGGTGGTGAAGTAACGACCGATATTTCTTCTACGCCAGACCTGCGATCTACATTATCTCTCGTAGGTCTGTTTCTTGAGCGATCACAGACTTCGAGAACTTCTAAGCATTCATCGTCCAAGCGGGGATCGGTAGCGGTTGGAGCGTACCCGTTCTCTAATTCCACGGTTTCATCTGGCGGAACAATTCACCCACACGAGTTGAATCACCATCTGGTGCGAAGGTTGAATCGTTCTTCCACGGCTGGCAAAGAGTCGTTCTAGGTCTCGTTCACTTTCGAGCCGACTCACATAGCCGAACCGGCTCACCGCTTACGAACCGGCTCACCTTGCCGAACCGACTCACATCGCCGAGCTGGCTCACACAGCCGAGCGGCCCGACTCACTTAGCCGAACCGGCTCACCTTACCGAACCGGCTCACCCTGCGGGCGACTCACATCGCCGAGGCGGCTCACACAGCGAGCGGCTCACCATGCCGAACCGACTCACCCTGCCGAACCGGCTCCTGCGGCGAACCGGCTCACCAGAACATCCTCGAATGAGTTCAGTTGATCGAACTGATTCCGTAGTCGAATGGGTTCCTCTGGCCGTACTGTTTCACGTGCTCAAATAGGTTCACCAGGGACGAACCGCTTCACATTCCGACTCAATTCACCTCAACAGGTGTTTCCGTTCGACTCACCACAGCGTTTTTGATTCCCGTAGTCGTTCAGTCTCACCTAGTGGAAGTGGTTAGCCATTTCCATCCGGTTCACCTAACGGCTTGGTGTCTTCTGCGTCAGAGGGATAATAGAAATCGGTCTCATTCACCTCAGGGGAATCAGAATATCCCTCTAGCCAGCCTTGTGCTAGTAGCGTCTTCACGGTCAGTGCCTTCCATGATAGTACACATCAGCAGCGCCGTTCTGTGCGGGTGGTTTCACCTGCTAGGCGGCGTTAAGCTTCAGTGGATCAGCGTTCACCTTCACGCCTTTCCACTTCTATTTTGCCTCGTCACAGATTATTGCTGAGTCTTGGAATCCTGCTATTGATTCCGGCTTCCAGCCGGTTAGATACCATGCTTCGTGCGTTTCGTCTGCTTGGAATCAGTGTCACTCGTCCTCACATGTTCAACAATCGCGTCTGGTGCTTAGCAATAATCGTTCGAGGAAGATTTGAGGATCGGACTCGATCTCAGACTACTTTCCCCTTCACCTGGGCAGTCAGACATCTCCACTCCTGATGGCAGTTTTGATGTTGTTGAACCGGCTCGCGTGTTAGCCTGGATAGTTGAAAAACTTCAGCTACCTCTTAGTAAATCTCCAGATGATTTGGCCACGTCTTATGCCATGACTAATAGAGATGTTGCCAGTATCACACTTCCTTTGCGCCCATGTCTTCAACAATTGCCTTCTTCTCTTGGCGGCTTTCAACAAGCTTAGAAGGGCGAAGGATGGTTTGTCTGCTCCAAGATTCCGACCATCCCGCGGCACATACTCATGGTGTGAAACTTTGGTCAGCGGCACCTTCAGTCGATGATGACATTTCCATGGTCTGTGGCGAAAAGCGTTCCATTTAAGCCGTATTTGGTGGAAGACGGGGAATTGGCTCACTTAGATACTCACGGTTAAGCCATGCTATCCCTGCCATTAGCTGCATTATTTCAGCTGTTGGCGCTGTTGCGGAGGCGGTCAACCATGCATATACGGACCAGGGGCGATACATCAGGGGTAGTATGACTCTGATTTTAGACCAATTCCAGGTGGTCTTGAGCAATTGTCTCATTTTTGGCTATTTACTTGCAATACGGCGGCCGAAGTCGTTGAATTTCTCCTCATGGGAAGATAGATTCAAGGCTGAATTATTTCGTCAACCATGGTGGGGATCACGGTGTTCAGTGGGGCTATTGCTGAAATCGCATCCAAGGTGGACCGTCTTAACCAATTTCAAGTATCTGTTGATCTCTTGGAATTGCAAAAGTCAGCTCAAGATTCTATCGGCATCGCCCGAACCGCACAATTACCCTTCAACCCAGACCTCGGGACTGTATGAAAACGGGCGCCTTCTCAAGCCGTGGCAGAGGCGGGAGGCCATTTTAGTGGTTCCGCATCCATTAAGCCCTATATCGACCGACGGGAACTGGACATAGACAGTCCAAACAGTGACTCCACGGAAGTCAGAGCTCGGATTGGTTCTGCGGATCCGGTGGTTCCAGTGTTGATTCCCTGTAGGAGGAGGTTAGGTCTGTTTGCTCCCAACTGGGAGGTTCTGGGAGATCCTTTTGTCACAATGACTCTCATTCACGGCTATCGACTGCCTGTGGTGGGGATCCACCCTCACCACTCAACCCTTGCAGCAAATATATCCTCTGGATCGGGCTGCAGTCCTTTTCGACTACAATCCAAACTCTACTGGAGAAACATGCAATAGAACACCTAGATCAGGTGTGCATAACTCAGGATTTTACTCCCCGATTTTCTGGTGCCAAAGAAAAACTCCAGCAAGTTCGTCTCATCTTCAATATGAAGACATTCAGCGCTCGATTCCTGCAACAACCACCTCATTTTCGCATGGTATCGGTCAGTCTTCTCCGCTCAATTCTGAAGAAGGGGATTTCCTCATATCCTAGATCTTCAAGGCGCATACCTGCACATTCCGATTCACCCAGATCATCGGAAATATCTCAGAGTTCACCTTCCGGGGCCATCACTACCAATGGAGCGTCCTTCCATTTGGAATCTCTGGCCCGTGGCTTTTTACTTTCGGGTGACCAAACCCATCAGCAGTTTCCTACATTCTCGGGGAGTGACTTTTCGAAAAGCTATATCGGCGATTGTATTCAGGCACAACAGGATCCAAGCGTTCTTCAAATCCATCGGGGAGTTCACCATCAGGCTGCTCAAACAGTTAGGGTGGCTCCTCAATTCTGAGAAGTCGGAGTTAACACCGACTCGCAGACTTCAGTTCATAGGGAGCAATCTTCCGACACAGAACAAGCCAAGTTGTTTGTTCCCCAGGACAGGTGGACCAAAATTCAGCGTCTGGTTCATTGGATCACCCCAGAACTCTCGCCAGTGGCAGGAGTTGCTGAAGTCTTAACGTCAGCTCAGGCTCTGACTTACAGAGGTCAGCTGCAGCTTAGCCCACTTCAGTTATTTCTCGCCCTCATCTTCAAACCAACAACCCTCAGGTGTTGATTCGGTTACCAGGGAACTCACGTCCAATTCTCGTTGGTGGCTCAGCGTGCAGAATGTTTTAGCGGCGTCTCTTTGGTGCCATTCAGTCCAACCCATCAGTTGTTTGTGGGCCTCTCTCTAGAAGGTTGGGAAGCCACTTCCTTCAGCATCAAGTGGCAGGGCAGTGGTAGAGTCGAAGACAAGTCACTCCACATAAACATTCTGGAGTTCAAGGCAGTATTACTGGCGATTCAGCACTGGGCGGCTCTACTCAAGATGTCTCACCTGCTGATACAGTCCGACAACTCGGCGGTAGTGTGGTACATCAATCACCTAGGGTCGACGGGCTCAGCAGCACTCCTACAGTGGGCGTCGCGTTTCTATCTTCTGATAGATTCTCTCAACATCGTCGCGTAAGAGCCAGGCACATTCCGGAACAAAGAGCGTGATTGCCGGCGGCTCTGTCGTTCCAGTAAGCCCGTCAGCCCACAGAGTGGCAACTCCTGCCCAAGATTTTTCGGACGATAATTTACCCGATCTCGACCGAGTGTCGATCTGTTTGCCACTCGGTTCAACTCCCAACTGCGAGATTCGTATCTCAATTCCAGATCCACTAGCTTGGGATCCGACGCCCTGGCCATTCCTTAGGAAGGCCTCAACGCTTATCGTTTCCACCTCGGCTCTACTTCACAAGGTCATTCAGAAAATTCTGTTAACCAACAAAGTACAACTACTTTTGGTAGCGCCATTTTGGCCAGCGAGAAGTTGGTTCGTCGGCCTAAAAAGTCTAGTCAGTCGAAGCAGCATTCCTCTTCCCGTGCGGGACGACCTACTAGTTCATCCGCACTCGGGAGTGTATCACGAGTCACCACAGACGTTCAATCTTCACGTATGGCACATTTGCAGAAATCACTAATAGCCAAAGGTTATTCTCACAGAGTGGCCTCAGCTATCACTGCAGCTCATCTAAATGCGTCTACCCGTTCTTTGTATGGCGATAAGTGGAAGAAATTTGAATGTTATTGTCGGGTCAGAGGGATGGCTTCCCCTACTACTGCTTCGCCCCAGGTTGTTGCGGAATATTTACAACATTTGCGGGCTACAAAGGAAACTCAAAGGTTCCACTTTAGCCACCTACTTGGCGGCTCTTAATTCGGTCCTAGCCACGACTTCTGATGCGAAGGTTTCGGCGGTGCGGAACTGCAGTACCGCCGTTCTTTTAAGCTAGCCGACCAATCCAGGAAATTTAGATCCACCAGCTTGGGACTTATCAGTGGTCCTGCACCACTTAGTGTCGAGCATTATGAACCCTTACAGGACAAGGAGTTTGAACAAGTTTCATTCAAGACCTTTTTCTTATTGCCTTGGCCACAGCGTACGTATATATCAGAACTGCATGCTCTAGATATCAACCGTGTCCGTTTTGAACAAATGAACATGGCAAGGTATTGTTGGGATTGCGCTGGGATTTTATTGCAAAAACCAGTTGCCGGGTCAACCTGATCGTCTTTTACAATCCGCCTTTGTCTACCATATTGGGTCCAGCAGATGTTGAAGATCTGTCTCTTTGTCCAGTCAGAGAACGCCGCATTTACCTTAAAGCAGCATAAAGGCGCCGCCGTCTGCGTAGAGGCTATTTATACCCTTGTCTCACGGCTTCCAAGGCGGAAGTTTCTCGCTTCAACACTCTCATATTGGCTCACGAGCTACAATACTACGAGCCTACACTTTTGCGGTTTGCCACCACCTCGACAGTCAACCCTCATGAAACCAGGGCTTTGGCTTCTACTATGGCGTTGCATAGCAACTGCTCGTTAACTGCCATAATGGAGGGGGTGTTTTGGCGATCTGACCACGGTATTTTCGTCTCATTACCTCAGAGATGTGTCGGTGATGGATATTCAAGGCCTTCATCAGTTTGGACCACTCGTCCCTTGCCCAGCAGTTATCAGCGGCACAACATCGCATGAATAATGAACTTTCTTGTGCTCCGATGCTATATGGATCCCACTGTGCAGTTGATCCCAAGTAAGCGTCGTTTCTGCTTGTGTACAATCTGAATAAATCTGAAAACTTTTCTGATTTCGTCTTTATTTCTTCGGGAGTTTAGATTTTCTCCTCTCATTTGTTTGAGACTACAGAAATTAAGCCACCTCACTTACTGTCCTCTGCTCCGCGGAGTAATTAAGTCAGTGAAGTGAGTCCTTCGAAGTGTTACACCGTGGCGTTCATGCTCCTAAGTGCCTATACACATCTATGTGATCTTATTGTGGTAAGTAATGGAAGTCATAAGATGATGTTGTGGTACTGAGCGTTAAAAATTGTGAGTTTTACCGATTCAATTTCTCTTTCACCCTCCTCGGGGCGGTGTCTGTGGGGGTTGTTTTGAAGCAGGGGCTGGCCCGATACTAGTCGTTTGACTTTTATTACGGGGGTACCTTGGAAATCGTGGCGATGCGACTGATTACACTTTCGTTAAGCTCGTCCTTTCACTTTGTGAAGGTAGTGACTGAACACCACATTGCTCGAAGAATCCGGTCCTGGGAGCAATTGTGCTTAATAAGTCAATGGGTTCGACCTAACCCTGCATGCGTAGTAACTTGGTAGTTATTGCCCTACCTTGCAGTTGCTTTCTCACGGTTGTTTGGAAGTAACACTAGCTGTTATCGCTTGAATTCGGGTAATCTATGACCCACCTTCCTACCGTGGGATAAGTGCAAGTCGTGAGATAGGATAAGTTTAAAAATTTGAAAATTTTAACTATAAATTGTATATTTATATACTTATCCTATCTCGCGCGATAAAATCCTCCTACCTCCCCACTACATAGATTACCACCGTTCCGGTTTTGTCCTTTTATGGCTCCAAGATCGAGAATGAGTATGTGAGGTGATCACGTGGGTGAGGACTGCGCATGCCTCGTGCTGTCATGGACTAGTGAGCACGACTGAGACAGGAAGGCATGCACAGCACGGGGAGAGGGGCAAGGTAGGTCTTGAGCAAAGTTTTAATTCGTTTCCACTCATGGTCGAATGAAGAGAGAGAGGTGCAAGTCGTGAGATAGGATAAGTATATAAATATACAATTTATAGTTAAAATTTTCAATTTTGTAAGATTTAAAAAAACAGAACTACTTCAAATACAATAAGTATAATTTCTTGTGAAGAGGTTTATACATGTAATATGATTATGCGTCCCCAAGGACCTAAGAGTATCGTGGCATTTCTAGAGCTAATACACGCACCGAAGCTCAAACCCAGGGGCGAGGTAGGGTAAGAGCGTGTGTATCAGTTGAACATACCAGTCGCACCCGACTGCAAAAATAGGCATTGTTAGGGGATATGTTCTTGACCTGCAGCAATTACAACCCATCCATGTGAAACTGGATGTATGACTCCCCACTAATCAAACATGTAGTTTGTTATCCTTAACCTTCCAAGATTTGATAGTGTTGAGTCTGCTAAGCGTGGCAAACAGTCGTTGAATGGGGCGGATATCTACTCTGGCTGCTGCACCCTCAAGATAGAGTATGCCAAGGTGAGTAGTTGAGGGGAGCGTCTGGATGGAGAATACACGTGATGAAATGTCTTGGTAATGTCCTCAGATGGTTATACTGTTTATACAGTCACCAGTAACAGCTGCAAGGGTGCTGATGTGGATTTATGCAGTAATCTTTCAATCATAGTAAAGGACTCCACTTCTAAACTGATATATAGAAATGACATGAAAAGGACCATGATCTTCACAAATCTGATTTACATTTATAGTTGAGACCTGATGTTAGCCTCTAGTCTGAGCCCTGGTTCCATTAAGTGAATATTATGGTCAGCTGGTCTATAAACAAACTGTTAATGATACTAAGAGTAAGAAACAGCAGCATTTATTATTTCAGTGATAAATTTATGATTTAATTTTCTTGCAGCCAACCCGTCTGAATGTTGTGAGGAATGACAACGAGAGTCGAGATTATACCAACCCCAACCTAGGTAAGAACAACTTAACAGCTTTCAGTCAATAAATGAAGGAAACATGCTTTAACTTGTACAACATTATCTCTTCATTAGTTCAGTCCTAGATATTTTCACCTGGTTGTACATTACTTTGAGCACTTGCTGGCGTTAGTGCCCTTTTGTTAAGTTTGAGGAAGTTCCAGTACGATTTGCTTTATCAAGACTGCTTGATTAGTTCCTATTTTCAATAAGCAGCAGGGAAGTAACTGAACAGTTAATAAGTGAACGTTCTTGTTTTATGAGTAGACTCTTGTAAGTCATATTGCCATTTTCCTAATTGTTGAATGGCTTCTTAAGCTTATTGTGTACTAGTCAGTGAATGTCTTGTTTTAATATTGTCAGTTCACATGTTTTACTGGACATGATTTTTGACTGTATTCTCTATGGAACATAACACAACAATGAATCTACATATCGCTTCTATCTGTATGACTTGTGGACATATTTAAAACATTTCCCCCTATTATTTTGATATCACAAACATGTTTTCTTGCAACATAACATGGCAGTATTTGTATATATACATGTCACAGTTGCAGTTTGCCAATATGGCCAACAATAATGTATCTCATGTCACGGTTACTTTGAACTTATTTTCACCTGCATGATCACAAATTTCAAATCAATTTGGGAAACATGCATTGTGTAAGTCACATGCTTGGGAATGACAGAATGGCATCTTTTTTGAAACAGTTTCTTCATAATGAACACAATAGTTGGAAACATTTGTGTTCCTAGGAAATGCTTTCCGTCACATACAACAGACTATTCTTATCCCAGATTGCTTTGAATCTGTCAATTTGTAATGGGTGCTGTAGACCTGGTGCAGTCGTTCAGTGCATGAGTCCAATGTACCACATGGCCAAGACTTAGATTGTACAAGCTTAGTGGATTTCTCCATGTCTTTTGCATTCAGATATTTACAGATGTCCATTTTATATTGCATGCCAAAGAAACATGTAACATGGTTTGATCACATTATGCAACTTGTACATTCTTTGGTGACTTTGTTAACTGCCTTTATCTAATACTGACTTTGTCTTTGATTACTGCATATGAACATAAGGTCTTTGCTTTGCAATGATCCTGTACTACATTACTAACATTACAGCTCTTCCTTAATCTAGACAAAAGTAGAAGGTTTGAAACTCTTTACAATACACCCCTATGTACATGAGTCACCAGCTGATCCAATACTGTGAGCCAGCTCAATTCTGTCTGCCATCCCAGACTCCCTACAGCTATAGGACAGATGATGACAGCTCCTTACATTGTCACATGGCCAACAGGTTTCCCTACTTTGTGGGCAACATTTAGGTACAGCTTGACCCTTCCTGCAGCCCTTCACAACAACCATCTCCATTCACAGTCAGACACGAGGATTCACTGCCCTGCTCTGCCGCCTCCGCCGCAATGTCGGCAGTCCATGCAGCCACAGTAGCCTGCCAGGTTGCCAAGACACAAACATAGGACAGTAGTAGGACAGAACACAAGAACCTCCTCAGCTTGTCAAACAGAAATACATCCCTGTGTAGCAGTTACACGTGACACCGAAGGATAAGCACAAGAAAATGGCTGCAAGTGTGAAAATATGCAGTAAAGATATACATGTTGGCACAGGCAGTCACTTGAAGACTGAACACAATACATCTTGCAGTACTATCAGAATTGTCAGCAAACCTGTGCAAGCTCATACTTGAAGAACATGAAGACTCACAGCAGAAACACACTTTACTTCCAACAGGCTGACAGACAAAAACTGATAATTTCAATTGATTGTACCTTGAACAGGGTCGGTCACGACTGGCCAAGGGCATGAGATGATACCAAGCACCTGGAGAGGGTTGTAAGTAGGAGGTGCTACCTGCCCCTCCCCTGGATGTGTGTTCAAGGTGCTACTTGCCTCGGGACTTCTGTAGACTTCCTGCATCAAGGGAGATAACTGGTAAAGCCTGTCCTTCGTCCTGGGGTGCTTGATCTTAAACCTGTGGGTCACAGTAGATGGTACTCAAACTGGTGCTTACTTTCGTATAACATTCTTTTCCTACTTGTACAATCTATTTGTTTTGTACTGCTGTAATATATGTAGAAATATCGACTTGTAATTCTGACTTTGAATATGTTCCTGTCAGGATTATCTCCCTTTCTTCTCATTTTACCGCTACAGGCATCAGATTTAAATGCCTTGTTTCATCCCAATTTCTGTACGACTTTTAGTTAAAAAGCACAGTTAAAAATTTAGATGTATAAACAAGACTTTAGATTGAGTATTGCTTAATAAAGAATGTCCAGGTTGTAAAGAATGGAAAATCTGAAGAGCTGATAATCCTGGGTACATATGTTATAATGTTGTAAGATTTGCTAAAATCTTTTTTGCAGCTCACTTGGTGATTTTCATTGTGCTGTTTTACACTGATAATTTGTTCATCAATCATTGTTTTGAATGTATACTATCAATGCATAATTAGTATGATGACATTTACCCAGGTACAATGCCAATATAGAATCTGGAATGAGACTTGTAGAAAGCTCTTCTGTGAATACAGCTTTTGGATCTGAGCTGTGGTGCCTAGAGCACCAGTATGTTTTAATCAGCCTGTTGGCATCTACAATTGTTTGAGGAATTCTATTTGCCAACACTCGAAAAATGCTAAGGAAAATCGACAGATCTGATTTAGATGAAGATGTGTTTCAGGTGCGGATCAGGGCGGTCACCGTGGCCAGCCTCTATTGGCAGACCCCAGGATGGGGGGAGGTCCTACTCCATACAGTAAGTATTGCTTACATAAATCTATCACTTGTACCTTAAAACATACATTCAGAAACAGCCTGATCCGAGTGTAAAAAAACATGAATGTATAAATTGAACAATTTGATAAACAGTTATATTCTGACAGCTTAACCAAGTTTTTACATAACACGTTTATTTTACCAAATGGTCTTTGATTTGTCCTTTTTACTCAGCTGGTTTCCATTTATAAATGCCTACTTTAAACTACTAAAATTCTAGGATCATGGAGATTTATTTCAATGACCTAGTTATTGTGTAGAACATGATAGTTAAAGTAGTCTGCACAACCCGTCCCCCAATCTCATTTAATGTCAAGTCAGGGGTATGTTGTAAATCCCTTAACTGTTGTGTTTAGATGGAATGGTAGAAGAGGGCCCCGGTATGCATGGTATGTGATAAATCTCATATGTGTTATTGCATGCTGTTAAGTTGCAACACATTCCACACATTAGGTGTTCATCACCACATTGTTGCACAAAATACCTGGTAAAGGAATACAATGACAATGTTTTAAGTCAACATTCAACTATCATACCATACAGTCTATCATTAAACCTTCAGTTTTGTTGAGTATAACCATTTCTGGAGTAACTGAAATATGTAGTTTTTGTGATGTGTTTATTTACCCTCCACTTGTTTTATAGATGGCCCCGACTTCAACCGAGGGGGCAGTGGGCATACTGCCCATGGTGGGGGTGGCGGTGGCTATGGTGGGGGCTATGGGGCTGGACCGTCAGGCTATTATGAACAGGAGTATGATGGTGGCTATGGCCCAGGGCCATCTCCCAGAGGTGGTCCATACAATGCCCCTCCCGACAGATACGGTCACAGACAGGTATGTTTTTTGGGGGGTTTGTTGTACGTTTGATCCTGATAGGTTGTCCTTGTTTAGTTTCTAAGGTTAAAGACCGGGTGCTTAAAAGCCTCATAGAAAGTTACAAGTCTCTTGTAAGCTTTGTCAAAGGGTTATAGAGATGTGAGGATTGGAGGATGTATGTTTGATGTGGGAACAATTGCTTGCAGGATCGGTACGGCCCCCCTCAACACTACCCTGACCAGGGCATGATGGGCCCCCCAAGCAGCAGCCAGCAAGGAGCTGTAGTCATGGTGTATGGTCTCAACATGGCCAAGCTCAACTGTGAAAGACTTTTCAATCTCTTCTGTCTCTATGGTAATGTTGTCAGGGTAAGTCAATGTGATTCGTCTCATAAACAATTCTCTTAAAGATCTTTCAGTAGCTCGGTTTAGACGTATCCATATCGATAACTAGAAGGTGTTTTGATGCAATGAGCAGCAGAAATTTACCTAAAACAATTATTTCAATATTGTCACTTTAGTTGCAGTGTTTGCTGCTTATATCTTAAATACTTACAACCGGCCAAAGTGTAGCACATAGATATACAGCCGGAGGTATTTTATGTTTGGTGGGCTACCTTTGGTTGGCTACATTCAACCGCAAGTAGAATGTTGACAAATGATAAACTGCGACAGATGACCAGTGATTTTACAGCATTTGATATGTGTCCATTCTGTCAACTAACTTTTGTTCAAGGTACCAATATCGGTAAACTTATCGTTGTAAATGAGTTTATACAATCTGCCAATCAGTGTACACACAAATTGTCGAAATTTGAATAAAATTGATAGGATGGATTACAAAATCCACGTAAACCATGAGCATGCATAATAACCAGATGGCATAATAACTAGCATTCTTTATCAAACGTCTCCAAATCACTTTTGTTCAAAATTTTGATTAGAATCTGGTTATTAGTTTATGGCCTCATGTTTATTCATTTGTTGTACACTCAGCAGAAATAGAAATAAATCTTTGTAATTTTACGTTTACATTTTAGTGAAGTTGGTAAAACAATGTTTTTATGTAAACCTCAAACAGTGTTATTTATTTTGAAAATGAATAAACAATCAGAATTATATGCCATGTAGCATAGAAAGTAGTCCAAACAGCACCATCTCAGAAGACAATTTTCACTCATAATAATGTTATTTTATTCTTTCTATTAATCGTTGAAAAAAATCTGAAAAGAACTAGTGAAATCTTCAAAGCATAGAGACATGCACAAAATAATCTCATAGTAAAAACATTTTTACTTAAGTGTTACTATTTTAACCAAGTTAATGTGCTGTATGTTGTAGCACATTGTGGTCTATAAAAAGTAATATAATCATTTTTAGTCATACATTTTGACAAACGTATTTGACAAGATGACTGATTTCACAGGAAAATATATACCAATACAAAGATGTTTGACAAATCTTCCAATTGAATACTGAAGCTTAGAACTTTCTTTTATATTTAATTTACTAATGTGTTGTGGAAAATAGATAAATTGTGAATTTTTCACAGGCCACCATTTTCTTTGAAACAGTGGGATATTGTAAGATGTTTTTGTTTGTCAATTCATGCAAATAATGATGTATACACAGTTACTTATTTGTAAAGAATAATGAAATAAAATGAAAATGAATAAACATGAAGTTTATAAATATTTGAAGGACTGAAAAGGTGATTAAATCAATTCATGAATCCCACCCATGTAACTCAAATCTCGTCGTCTCATGTGGAAGTTTCACTTGTCTTGTGCAACAGCACCCTAGTTTTCAACTGGACCAGAGGTCCATCCCTCAGTATTTGGTCTCTGATAATCTTGTGTTTAGATCTGTGTAATGTGGAGTGTATCTTCCAAGTGTCCTTGAAATGCATTTATTCTTTATGACCTGTTCCTTCAGGTAAAGTTCCTGAAGAGCAAGGAAGGTTCTGCAATGGTTCAGCTTGGTGATGGCATGTCTGTTGAGCGAGCCATCCTCAACCTTCACAACACATTCTTCTTTGACAACAAGATGCAGCTCAGGTAAGTCTCAGCTGTAATGTTGGTGTCCCAGCTTGTCTTAACCAGAGACCAGTATGCAGATCTAAATCAGATTTAAACAGTACCTCAGTTTAATACAAATTGTCGCATTGAAGTAAAGGGTTTTTGTTTTGCTCAGAATTCATTATTATTTTTTATTTATTTATTTTTTTTATATATCATAATAAAATTAAAGGGATGTCCTTTAACAACTTAAAAGGTGTTTCTGACGTGTCCATTTTTCAGCCCTTCAAAACAAGCATTCCTTCAGGATGTGATGAACCCCCATGAGCTGCCTGACGGAACCCCCTCCTACATGGACTTCATGGGCAACAGGAACAACCGCTTCACTAACCCGGAGGCAGCCAAGAAGAACAATATCCTTCACAAACTGCAGTCACAAATGAATGGCGATGCTTGTAACAGCTACAAACTGAAAAGCATATTCTGTCTTTAATCTCGTTATACAAAGAAAAAAGTTGCTTTTGCCTAAATCAAAGTTTTGAACAATCTGTCAAATATGATACAATCAATTTATATTCACCTGTGTACCTTGAAGCAGTTTTTGAGATACATTAGGATAGTCATTAGTACTATATGAAAGAAATGTCAACGTTACATGTTATCATTTCCTTAACCCTCTGTAAGAGTCCAAGGACCAGCCAAAGTGTTGCATTTCTTCAATACCCCACCTGGCATCACTGCAGAGGATATTGAAAAGGTTTGCTCACTATACTGTACACATTTCTTTAACCTGAACTGTTCTATACACTAAACTAGGTTGTTAATGGTAACAGATTATTACATGGTTTTTCCATTGAACATGTTTCTTTCTTTTCCCCTACAGAGACTAGGAATAAATTGCTAATATTATATATAATTGTTTTGTTTCTATTCGTGGAAAAACATTTACTTCTAAATTGAGCAAAATTATTCTCAGAAAAACCAAGTCTTTCCTCTGTACACGCAGTACACGGTCAGGGTGACTTGTTTGTTTGAGTCTATTCTTTCTTCAGAGATGTCATGTCTTTGTCATTGTTTCCAGATATTTGAGAAAGCTGAAGTAAAGAAACCAATACAAGTCAAATTGTTTCCTTCCAAGAGTAAGTACTTTTCTGACAGTTCATATTGTATGTTCATCCAGCACTGAGATAATGAGTTGTCAAGTAACAGCACTCAATTTCAATAGTTTTGTGATACGACTAATATCTAAATCCATTTGAGATATCTGTAAAGGCCATGAAGGTGAATATTTACACTTGCCCAATACATGCACACATCTAATAAATATTTTTACAGCAGAGAGAAGTTCATCAGGCCTTGCAGAGTTTGATAACAAGGGCGATGCTGTGGAAGCACTCGTGATGTGCAATCATACTCCTGTTGAAAACCCAGGATCAGTCGGTACGTACAGATCATTGTTTTATTATTGTACGTGTCCAGGGGTGGAAATAACTTTAAAATTGATAGTGTACTCCGGTACAGTGGCACATGTAATGTCACTTGCCCTGATAATATTTCCACTATACCGACAGTTTTCCTGCTGATTATTTAAATAAACAACATAATTAACATTGGAAAGTCAACTGGACAATGGTACAGTGTGATATACAAATTTGCTTGCCCGGCAGAAAAAAACACTGGACTTGGACGTCGGGCAATGGGTTATTTCCATCCCTGGTGTCCATGACCACCTGAGCTGATCATTAGTAAATCAGTCTGTTCAGTCCTAGTTTGTACCTCCTCAGCACTGTAATGTAGTGTGTGATTTGTTGGGGAGCCAAGTAGTGGAACACACCAGCATACCAAACAAACCATTGGCAGTATTGTTCCACTAAAATGGAAAGTGAGTCAGTGTAACCTCACATGCATCTGGGTTCAAAGCTGTGACCAATCTGGTTATCCAATGTTGCCACCTGAATGTTAGGTGTAGATCGTACAAGTACAACCTTTATCACAGTACTGAGAGGTCTGAGCATGAGATTTCTGTAAGTGGGTTGAAGAAAGGGTCTTCATAACAGTCTGTGCGCGGTGGGGTAGCCTTGTGACTAAAGCATTCACTCGTCATGCCGAAGACCCAGGTTCAATTCCCCACATTGGTACACTGTGTGAAGCCCATTTCTGGTGACCACTGTCCCCTGCCATGATATTGCTGGAATATTGCTAAAAGCAGCATAAAACTATATTCATTCACTAATAACACTCTGCAGTTATGTCTAGCACTGTCCTCATGGCTTGTGAGGTGTTTGTAATCTTACAAACCCACATTTAAAATTCAACAGATGTTGGTAGATATGCAAGCCCCAGTTATATACAAGGACAAGTTACAAGAAACAAACACATGACTATTGGAAGTTACAACGGTGTAGTTCTAAGATGGTTGTAGAACATGAAAATGTTAACAAGTCTAAAGCCTTTGTTTTGTTTCCAGCCGGCAAGAACCCATTCATCATGAAGCTGTGTTTCTCCTCCGCCCCCATCATAGGTTGATAGAAGTTATCAGACAGGAACAAGCATCTAGCTTTAATCTCTGTAATCAGTATAGTGTTTATCATTGTCAACAATTGTCTGGTATTCACCACATTGAGTCAAAAGAGTAGATCATCACTTAGCCCTATGGTGATGGCATGTTGGTCTGTTTTAAGGTGTATATTTGTCAATGTGATTTAGTGGTGACATTGATAAATCAGTCTGTATTGTCAGCCGTCCGGCACAGGATGTGTATTGCAGTTTCTTTTAAATTTTTCTACAGTTACTTTTAAGTATGTATTTTAGTTTTCTCTGTAAATGTTTGCAACTAAGTCTTGCCAAGTTGAGACATCCCGAACAATTCTTTGTAAGTTTTATGTTTCCTGTCACATCATGTCACAATAAATTCTGGTGTAACATATATGCTACTGTTGTTATATGTAGTTGTCCCAGGCAACACTACTGTCTGGTCAGATGTCTCACTGGATCCCATGATCACATCACATCCATTTAATTAATCTTGACACAACATAGGTTTAGGTATTCATGGTATCCCTATCAAGGGTGAGGTTCTGATTTCAGTCAAAGAAATCGAATCCTGACTCGTGTGAAAGCACCAATTTCCTAGCGTTCATCACCCCAGAAGTGTTCCTTTCACCACTATAGTGTGTTTACTGTCTCAAACATGGAAGAAACAGATGTAACCTCTATAGCTCAGCAAACAGAATAGTGTGATTGACGAATCGGTCCATGTAGGGAAGAAAGGCAACAACTGGAGACTGTAAACAGTTTAATAACAAGAAGTACATGTTGCACACAAGGCATATATTGTAATATCACAGTTGAGTGGTGTGTAAAAACAGTAAGGCTCACAAGTGGATGGAATTTAACATGGCGGTAAGATGCCAGGACGGGATTTACCAGCAATGATCATGTATGGTGTGGTCAATACCACCTCTAGTCCTGTTGGGTCTCTATACAGTTATATTTATTTATATACACAGTGGACATAACTTGATACCGACAATTCTTTATGTGGAGATATGTTAATGAAGGCTGGTCATTATCGATAATGTTACTGCAAAAGATACTGTTTGGAGGTTTGAGGGGCGGTGGGGTAGCCTAGTGGTTAAAGCGTTGGCTCGTCACGCCGAAGACCCGGGTTCGAATCCCAACATGGGTACAATGTGTGAAGCCAATGTCCCCCGCGTGATGTTGCTGGAATATTGCTAAAAGCGGCGTGAAACCAAACTCAGTCAGTCGGAGGTTTGAAATCTTCCACATTTAGTGAGGAATTCCTACGTCTCCCCATTACGTTCAGTGACGCCTTTTTAGGTCTCGTCGTAACTAATACTTGGGGTGCTTGTACACCAGCCATCTTTCATCGTCCCTGCAATGGTATGCACGATTACAGGCCTCGGGGGCAAATGTGGTTTAATTTCACCCTTGAGTAAATATTTGATTGAAAACATACACAGTTGGGGACAATGGGCTACTGGTCTCGCATCTTCATGACATGAGAACGGCATTAAAACTAAAAAAACCTTCTCTTAAGACCGAAATCTGTTATCTATATGGGACTAGATAAGGGTTGTATGGTACCAGGTTTTGGTACAAACGTAGTTTGGTTCCAGAACGTTACTCAGTGTTTTCATTGGTAAATGGGACTTTCGTTGTTTTTCTGAAATAAATAATTTAGAACACACTTCCCCTTTCCCTTTGCACAACATGGTTCCCACAGGTCAAATGTATATTTAAACAGAATGACATTTAGCAGTCCACATCTGAAGTTGAGCAGTTTAAACAGTATATGAGTTCATGGATTGCTGATTGATGCCGGAACGTTTGTGACCTAGTTCCGAGGGGATATTTACTATACTACTTACACTAAAGTAAGTCTAGTCTGGGGCTAGACTGCATGTAATTCGTGCCATATGATGTTCTACGACAATTTCGTCAAGATATATCATGTCAAAAGAAAACAATTCTGTAAAAACAGTCTCCAAGCTCAACTTGGACGAGGACACTCCTATCGTTTCTTGGTACACAAAAGCTTAGTTGAAATAAAATGTGCATACATTGTGTGAATGGTCAGCAGCCCTGTCAAAATTGGTGTCCTGTGACCGGGCACATCCATTCACCTCCCTACGTTATCGTCAAGACCAAAGAAGCTCACGGTTACAACATATCACATCCTTTCTGTGGTGGTGTCAATGGTGACCACGCATCTATAACAATGAGCAAGACGCACTAGCAGGAGAGCTCTGCTTTGAATCCATCACACATGCCCACTGTTTGTGGGTGTCGAAAAGCCCATGTCACTTCATACACCGATCCTGAAGCACACATTCAGACGTCCTTGAAACCAACCTTAGCCTCTCTTGAACTTGACCTATGGAACCATCGGGTATCTACCATCGGGCACCTGTCACCGGGACGAGGGCACACGCGTGTTGAAGATGTGTATGTACCGGTGTAATGTTCGGCTGTAAGGCATCATTTGAGTTTCTGAGTATCCAGGTAGAGTTTGCCAAAATGGTCCTCCACCCCGCCGGTCGACCTAGCCGAAAAGGCCCCTAGCTCCTCGCGTGGGAGATCCGAAGGCGCTGAGAGCCAGTGCTTGTAGTTCCTTCTCGCGCTTCTGTCGCAACTCCTTCCGATATTCGACTGAAACATACAACATTCAGGTGCTTACTTTTATTGTTGGTGTATGTACAGGGACCTATATCAACAACACACTACTAGAACCACCATAGATTGGTTCAAAGATAACTGGAGCCAACGTTCTTAACACACCAGATAAGAATGAACACACTTCACAGCACTGCAACTGAAACTGAATATGCACAGTAAAGTACATGTATGTAAACGTGGGCAACATGTTCACATATGAAGGTCCCCAGTCCGTATATAAATGGACACATTATTATTATTATATCACTATATCGGATTAATATTTCGCATCGATATAACAGATCACAAGATCGGGTCAGTGTGAAGGATCACATGTCGGATCACATGATGAACTGTAATGACGTCGCAACATTCTGACATGAAGTGAAATCGGTGAGGACATACTGTATAACAACTATCATCTATAGAGGTTTGTTCTAAATTTACCCTCACGTGTTGTCACGTGATGTGTGTCTATGTGACATTATTAGCTCTTGTATACGGTACTGAACAACCTGTGTCTAAAACATGAGGAATATTGACATAATCGTTAAAGTGCTCGGCGTACTATTTCAGGTCTATTTATCGTCAACTCCCAAATGTTGACACAGAGAAAGCTATCAGAATAACAGTTGCACGGTTCATTAATCTTCATGGTGGAATGTTTCTGGGACACCGCCTCTTCGCGGCATCAGGTTATATGGACTTTTGCCGCTAGGAACTTTGTGTTGTGTTAGTCATCATTGATTGTACCCTGGCAATCTTTGTCTGGTTGGTGTAATTTAGGTGCAAATTGTTGGGAATTAACTGTCCATTACCGACCATCCAGGCATCGAAGATTGGCCTCCGACTCTGAGATGAACGACAACCGACTGAAGCGGGTCAGATCTTTCGGAGTATAACAAAGGGTGGGGATGGTATAACAAAGGATGGGGATGTTATAACAAAGGTGGGGTGTTATAACGATGGATGGGGATGTTATAGCAGCGTGAGGGACGGTATAACAAAATATGGGGATGTTATGACAAAGGGTTGGGATGGTATAACAAAGGGTGGTATGGTATAACAAAGGGTGGTATGGTATAACAAAGGGGGGTGGGGGTGGTTGGTATATGAGCCTATAAAGATGGTATGTAAATGTATAGGGATGGACAGGTTTGGACAGACATGCATGATTGAGAATAGTCCTCCAAATGATTATGTCACTCATCATTTATTTCGTGTTTATTCATTCGTTCAGATTTTGTGAAAACTGAATCCCAATATGTCGTAAGCCTGTTTCTATGCAGGATGGGCCCTCGTAGTCACGCTCAAGTCCCGTTGCTATGTGCAACCATGACGAGGAAGGACGGAAACATCCGAGATGCGAATATGTAACAAATGAAGAATCAATTTCATTTACTCTGACTAAAGCTTTCTTCCGGCGTCACCCACTCTTGTGTTGACCTGCGCAGCGCGGCTCGCTGTTATCAACAGCCATTACAACAGATGCTGGTATGGTGTTATTCCAGGACAAGCCTGCTTCTTGTAGGGTACGGAAAGGGGCCAGTGGTTACGAACGTAGAATCTGGTGCACTCATAATATCCCAGATTGCACGTAGCTGACCTGCGGTCTATTCACGGACCCATGGGTCACAATAACGTATTGGGGATGAAGAGCATAGCGTCTCACGCATGCTTCCCCAAGACTAACTTTGTATCTGAATATACAGGATTCCTTTTAAATTGAAAAGGAGCCACATATATGGGAGATTCAGAAACTGAACCTGAGGAAGTCTAGACTCGTTTCATGTAGGGCTTTAGCATTGCAGAAAGGGCTGGGCGGAAGGGGACATAATGCAGTTGAGGGACTGTGAGTCAGACTAAGGTTTCCCAATGCAGGCTCCAGACTAACACCGTCTGGAAGACTGCATACAGCTGGGATCTTGCTAGGATCTACATACACCTGAACAGGACAACACCAGTGTGAACAGATGTAGGGTCACCATGACAACACCAGTGTGAACAGATGTCGGGTCACCATGACAACACCAGTGTGAACAGATGTCGGGTCACCATGACAACACCAGTGTCAACATATTTAGGATCATTATGACACAAGTGTGGACACATGTAGAGTCACCATGACAACACCAGTGTGACTATATGTGGGATCACCATGACAACACCAGTGTGGCCATATGTTGGATCACCATGACGACACCAGTGTGACCATATGTAGGATTATCATGACGACACAAGTGTGGACATATGTAGGGTCACCATGACAACACAAGTGTGAACATATGTACTGTCACCATGACAACTCCAGCGTGAGTGTATTTAGAGTTTCTGAAACACTTAATCACCGAATGGAATACGACAGACAAATCTGCTTGAACTTTAAGATCTCAGCTTGTGTAGTTCAGCAACAGTTCTTAATGATGTGCTGTTATGAAACCCCCAATCTGGAAGAAAGTACTCACAGCAACTAAAAGCAATTTGTTTGACTGGTATACAGAAATTGATCGACCAAACACTTGTTGATGAGATCATTGCAAACAAAGATAGAATGAGGTACAAACATGAAGACACAACATATTGTTTATCATTGATTTAAGAACAAAAGTGCGCTGTTTCCTGCGAGGCAGTTCACCCTGTGAACATGTACGTGCAGTCAGGCGACCCCTCCGACAATGTCATCTACAGAGCCGAACTAATGCAACACCGAGGAGCAGCATGGTCGGTCGATGCCAGTGTTTTAGAGACTCCATGACTGTTTACAATGCAGACACCGACGGATACCAGATCGTTGTTGTATTTTTCCTACCCAGCCGTTCCTGTTGCCGGCTGAGAACGGTGTGTTTCAGAGAATAGTTAATGGAGAACCTGCGTAGCCATTATGCATGTTTATATTGGTGCAGGCGCTGCAGTGAGAGATGTACTCTACACACCGCCGTATCACGCAGTTCAAACACACATACGTCTACTGCTTTAATGAACACCTTCACGAGTCAAGACTCCTCACAGCGAATGAGGATGTAAGAAGTGGACACTTAAAGACATGACATTGTCTAGAATGAGAAATATAACCACGACAAAACCACACACAAGGTTTATAGCCACGACACACACACACAAGGTTCATAGCCACGACACACACACAAGGTTCATAGCCACGACACACACACCAGGATCATAGCCACGACACACACCAGGTCATTGACTAAAATGAGAAATCTAGCCACGACACACACGCACAAGGCTCATAGCCACCACACACACACACAAGGCTCATAGCCACCACACACACACACACACACACACGGTTCATCGCCACGAGACACACACACAAGGTTCATAGCCACGACACACACCAGGTTCATGGCCACGACACACACACACAAGGTTCATAGCCACGAGACACACACACAATGTTCATAGCCACGGCACACACCAGGTTCATAGCCACGACACACACAAGGTTTATAACCACTACACACACAAGGTTCATAGCCACGACACACACACCAGGTTCATAGCCACGACACACACACAAGGTTCATAGCCACGACACACACACCAGGTTCATAGCCACACACACACCAGGTTCATAGCCACACACACACCAGGTTCATAGCCACGACACACACACCAGGTTCATAGCCACCACACACACACACCAGGTTCATAGCCACGACACACACACCAGGTTCATAGCCACGACACACACACCAGGTTCATAGCCACGACACACACACCAGGTTCATAGCCACGACACACACACCAGGTTCATAGCCACGACACACACAAGGTTCATAGCCACGACACACACACCAGGTTCATAGCCACGACACACACACCAAGATCATAGCCACGACACACACACCAGGTTCATAGCCACGACACACACACCAGGTTCATAGCCACGACACACACACCTGGTTCATGGCCACTTGGAAGTGCCAACAATCGATTGTGTATGCAGAGTGAGTGAGTGAGCCTGTTCCAGCCATGTTTTACTGTTCTAGTCATATTAGAGAAGGAACATAAAGAATGGGCTTCACACGGTATACCCAGAGGGAATCAAACCCAGACCCTCTGACTGACGAGCAAATGCTCAAAGAAGTTATTTTGAAGAAACAGGCGCAGCTCTTTGAAGGACGTGGAAGTATACTGACACGTATGATCGTATTACTGTTATCATGCAATAACTCACAGAAGTATCCTTTCAGTCACCCATGTATTTATTCAGTCGTTATTGTTTGTAGAACATGTTTTAACGCTGGTTTTAGAAGAAAGGAGTGTGTGTGTGTGTGTGTGTGTGAGAGAGAGAGTGAGTGAGTGAGTGAGTGAGTGAGTGAGTTTAGTTTTACGCCGCACTCAGCAATATTCCAGCTATATGGCGGCGGTCTGTAAATAATCGAGTCTGGACCAGATAATCTAGCGATCAATATCATGAGCATCGATCTACGCAACTGGGATACGATGTCATGTGTCAAAGAAGTCAAGTGAGCCTGACCAACAAATCCCGTTAGTCGCCTCTTACGACAAGCATGGGTTACTGAAGATCAATTCTAACCCGGATCTTCACGGGTAGAAGAAAGGCGTATGAAAAGTAAATACAATGTTCATTCCTAATACAGTATATTTCTAATCACAAAGCAACGTCAGTGTATAAGAATATACTCACTTGACAGAATGATCATCTTGATGCCCCATGCCACACTCCAGAACCACCCCACCAGCATGAAGGTGACAGTGAATAGTTGAGCCACGCCCACCCACACATTCACACACACTGTGATCGGCACGTGATCATCCTTCGTAGGTACTCGGGACTTTCCGCAGCACAAGATGGCGAATCCACTCAGCATGGTCCCTGCAGTTTCAAAAACATCGCTATAACAGATCTGATTTAATGAACCAATTACTGCACTGTCTGAAGCGGAATTTCAGGGCTTGATCTAATGTGAATTTCATGTTTATAAATGGCCATATATGAAACATATCTTCGTCTCTAGATATACGTAATTCTTATTAATACTTGGCTCAATATTTTCATATTTATACTTATGTAGATACAATTCTTATTAATTCCATGTATGGATATAGTTCCTATTAATCTTATTCTACGTGATACATATATAACTCATGTTGGTCACATGATACATATATAACTCATGTTGGTCACACTGATACATACATAACTCATGTTGGTCACACGATACATCTATAACTCATGCTGGTCACATGATACGTATAAAACTCGTGTTGGTCACATGATACGTATATAACTCATGTTGGTTACATGATACATATATAACTCATGTTGGTCACATGATACATATATAACCCATGTTGGTCACATGATACATACATAACTCATGTTGATCACATGATACATACATAACTCATGTTGGTCACATGATACGTATATATAATTCCTGTTGTTTTATGAGATATATTTACTCAACAAAATTAGAAGCTTGACACCCCCATTATTGGTTACAGTTGGGGGGGTAGTAATTCTTTTTAGTTTCTTGTTGTCGCCATACAAATGGCCATGACATGTAAGTAGTTATAACATGGTCTGGCGACCGACTTGAAATAGTTGCTTGGGAAGAGTGAAAACAGCTTCACAATCACGTGCAGCGAGTCTCGCGATCACCTTTGTGATCGCACGTGCACTGGAATGCAAGCACACAGGCATTGTTCAGCAGGCAGACGCGTCACAATATAATATATTAGTTACATTACAGCGAGTATACCGTGACTCACACACCAACCCTGGTTTGGCTTGAAGCACACTAGTTATTGACATTCGTTGTGTCAGTGTGAAGATTGTATTGGAGGAGTATAGAACGTCTCGCATTACTTCAGAGTGACAACCATGTCTCCACAAGGGTGTGACACGAGAGATGACGTCAACGTTCCTATAGTCAACTGTCCCTACTTGTCCCTCAATATGTCCCTCTGTTTCACCGTTTGGTGTTTACATTTCACAACTGTTGAGGCGCCATCGAGCATGTTCTTGTCACCAAAGTGCGTCATACGACTTGTCAGGAGTTGTTACATCTTTCAAAACTAAAGGTCTTATTAAGGCTTAAAATTAGCCAAGTAAAGGATATTTAGAAATGTGACGCCTAATTTGACAAAATATTGCTCTGTGCAGCTCCCTATTTTGACTTGTACCATAGGTCCCCGTGATATATATACTATAACTATTATATATAGCAGTTGACAGTTGACTAGCCTTTTCGTGTGTTTTCTACAGGTTCCTCTGGTGGGTCGGAACACGCTCACCTTTTCGCGTACATATGTATCATCATTATTTGATAGTTATTCATAAACACTGAAAAATGAAGTAAAGATTGTACAATTTGCTCTATTCTTGGCAGCGATTTCTCGTGGATATGAAAAGGGTTTTGTCGCTTCTAGACTCGCCTATACTTGGGGGGTCTTAGGTCGGAACTACAGCATCAGTTTCTATCTGTATAGGTGCCATCAGTACTTATCAATACCGACACTGACACAATCCTAACACAACACAATCCTAACACAAAACAGGCCGTGTGTTACCCGTACAACCACCCTGGTGCAGACCACATCTATCAAAGGCCACAACACAAATACCCACCAAAGATTCAGCCTATTGAACTCTCAGTGAACGCTTATTGATAGAGGTCTAAATTTAACATTTTATTGTAATATTTCACATTAAGGTAATGGCGACTATTCTCGGCAATTCAATCATGCGTTACTCTTCTGCACTAAAAGTAGTTAGCCATCAAAATAGTATTTTCTTGCAAGAAAAATCGTTAGTTTCTTTTTTCATGTATTTTACGACCATTGTCAACAGAGAGGCGTGGCTGCTTATTGGCGGGACACGCGGTGACAGGCCTACACAAATGTTGCTGTTTAAGTGTTCCTGTGGGAACGGAAGAACCGGTCCGAGTTCGACTCCGTCACGAACCCTTGATTAAATCGCTTTGTTGAAATGTTACACTAAATATTCACAAGAGGACATAAACGCCCAGTCGATAAGAGTCTGGAGGACACAATACCTGTCGGTGAACGCCATTTTTCATGGCCCTGCTTACTGAAACACGAGGCTTGCACCAATTACAAACTTACGACAAGAGAATAGTTCGCCCGACTTCACTGTTTGTTATGCAATAAGTAGTTGTGTGTTTTCTGATGAAATATCCCGGCATGAATAGAATGAGGACAAAGGGCGGTATTGGAATCATGTAAATATCCCACATAGAGCTATGACGTTTCTAGATCTCGTTTCTGTTTTTGTAAGCATGGTAATGGCTAACGTTCTTACACAAAGAATTATGCATGGTGCCACTAAATACCCGCGACTCTGATGATACAATAATACTACTAGCTGATGATACAATGGTACTAGCTGTTGATACTATAATACTAGCAGATGATACTATAATACTAGCTGTTGATACTATAATACTAGCTGTTGATACTATAATACTAGCTGTTGATACTATAGATGATACTATAATACTAGCTGTTGATACTATAGATGATACTATAATACTAGCTGTTGATACTATAATACTAGCTGTTGATACTATAGATGATACTATAATACTAGCTGTTGATACTATAGATGATACTATAATACTAGCTGTTGATACTATAGATGATACTATAATACTAGCTGTTGATACTATCATACTAGCTGAAGATAATATAATACTAGCTGTTGATACTATAATACTAGCTGAAGATAATAATAATACTAACTGTTGATACTATAGATGATACTATAATACTAGCTGTTGATACTATAGATGATACTATAATACTAGCTGTTGATACTATAATACTAGCTGTTGATACTATAGATGATACTATAATACTAGCTGATGGTACAATAATAATACTAGCTGATGATACTATCATACTAGCTGATGATACAACAATAATACTAGCTGATGATACAATGATACAAGCTGTTGATACTATAATACTAGCTGATGATACTATAGTACTAGCTGTTGATAATATAATACTAGCTGTTGATACTATAATACTAGCTGATGATACAATAATACTACTAGCTGATGATACAATGATACCAGCTTTTGATACTATAATACTAGCTGATGATACTATAATACTAGCTGTTGATAATATAATACTAGCTGATGATACAATAATACTATTAGCTGATGATACAAAGATACTAGCTGTGGATACTATAATACTAGCTGATGATAATATAATACTAGCTGTTGATACTATAATAATAGCTGATGATACAATGATACTAGCTGTTGATACCAAATACTAGCTGATGATACAATGATACTAGCTGTTGATACTATAATACTAAGTGGTGATACAATGATACTAGCTGTTGATACTATCATACTAGCTGATGATACAATGATACTAGCTGATGATACTATAATACTAGCTGATGATATTATAATACTAGCTGATGATAATATAATACTAGCTGATGATACTATAATACTAGCTGATGATACTATGATACTAGCTGTTGATACTTTAGATGATACTATAATACTAGCTGTTGATACTATAGATGATACTATAATACTAGCTGTTGATACTATAGATGATACTATAATACTAGCTGTTGATACTATAATACCAGCTGTTGATACTATAGATGATACGAAAATACTAGCTGATGATACTATAATACTAGCTAATGATACTATAATACTAGCTGTTAATAAAATAATACTAGCTGCTGATACAATGATACTAGTTAGTGATACAATAATACTGACTGCTGATATAATAATACTAGCTGTTGATACAATAATACTGGCTGTTGATACTATAATACTAGCTGTTGATACTATAATACTAGTTTGTGATTCTATGATACAACTGATGATAATATAGTACAAACTGATGGTAATAAAACAGCAGCTGGTGACCCTTTAATACTAGCTGATGGTACTATAATGCTAGCTGATGGTACTATAATACTAGCTGATGCTAATATAATACTAGCTGATGGTACTATAATACTAGCTGATGGTACTGCGTCACTAGTTTGGATTAACAGCAATGTGGGGATACAACTGGCTATTGCTGCGATGCCATCACTTACCGTCCCTTTATTGTAATGTTTAAGAGCTAATGATTTCATCCATATCTCATTTATCTCTGGTAACGAGAACCTGCCGCCGTATTTCAAAGACGGATGGAAATTTTCAGAACGGCAATATCACATTTCCTCCCAACCTAAGCGATGTTTAGTACTGCACGAGACAAAAACACCCATAATCAATGGTGAGGAGGAAATTGGAACTAAAAATGAGTTTTTTTTAATATGTCTTTATGTGTCTAGCTTCTTTAACCGTATTGATGTAGATGAAGATCACTGTAGCCATCGCTTGGTACCGTATTCCTGAGTGTGATAATCTAAGGACATTACTGTAAATCCCCTGTACGGCAGTAAGGCGACAGTCTATTGGTCGGTATCTCGGCAATCCCCTCGTAAACACTGAGCGTTGTAAATCACTTGAAAATTAAACACGGCCATTGCCACGAAGCATTACAGGTAATGTCTTTATAATCCATTAATAACAACCTCATGCAATTATTTTCTAATTTACTTAATGATTTAGGAAAATGCTTGGTTTTCCTCGCCCCACACCAGTGGTAACCAGGTTCCGCCGTCACAGATAACGCTGACCCCAAACTGAGATAACGCTGACTCCCAACTGAGACAACGCTGACCTCCAACTGAGACAACGCTAGCTCCGCCCTTGCCGTCAACAATTAACTGCCCATCTGTGACACTCACATGAAGGGGAGACAACTACGAGTTGCAACAATGATTGGCGTTGTCCTACACTGTGAATCTCCATGGGTTGCAGTTGTGGCCACTATACAGAGTAATTATGTATACATTACAAACGGTGACATTTCGTAAACCATTCGTCCTTTCTTCAAGCGTGGCTTTTCCCTCACAAAATAACGGCCCATTTCATCAGAGACCACATAATAGGTTATATGGTCTCTGATTTCATGACTATTTATAGAAAATGGCACTGGATCAGTTTTAAAGAAATACCATTGATTCTTAAGTATTTATCATAGCCAAGATATTATTTGCGGAGTGACCTCTAAGTTTGAGACTGGTTAACGGCTGCCGATGCCGCAAGGACACCAGTTGATCATAGCGTTAACACCACGGTAGTCTGTCTCACAGTCCCCGAACCACATTATTTTTCCCTATACTGCCTAGCCAGTTGATCATAGCGTTAACACCACGGTAGTCTGTCTCACAGTCCCCGAACCACATTATTTTTCCCTATACTGTCTAGCCAGTTGATCATAGCGTTAACACCACGGTAGTCTGTCTCACAGTCCCCGAACCACATTATTTGCCCTACTGCCTAGCCCTCTCTGCAGTGCTAAAGCCCTAAATAAAGCAAGTCTAGATTTCCTCAGGCTTAACCAGACCGGCGATGCCCTACAGAGTTGCTCAGCCGTTTTAGAGTAAAGGAAACGCGTTTATTAGAGTAAAGTATTAGCGTATATCTAGTCGTGAGAAGCTCCTGGTTTGAATGTAGGGATCATTGTCCCTCAACAGACACATTACATCCCTTCCCGAACAACGTAAATATCATGAATGTTTGTACACCTTCCAAAGATATATATTACACGTCAGTACAGCACTGAAAAGTGTGTAATTAAAAAATACTACGGCAATATAGCCTACTAAACAATTATTATTATTATGAAATATTCCAAATAAATCACGATGTACATGGTAAAACATTTAAGAAGAATGGTGTCCGCTGGTTTTTTCTCATCAGCAATCCTTCCTAATCTCGCCCCACAATCCTTACTAATCTTTCTTCACAACCCTTACTAATCTCGCCCACTATCCTTATTAACACGTTGACTGCCACCTGAGTATGCTCATAGTCTCAGTTCTGGCCGAATGTGCCACTACGAGTTATCTCGTAGCTATATCAGTGGTTTGTTAAACAAGTTTCACATGTTGGCAAAACAGGCACAAGAAGCAATCGTCTCCTGGCGGTAATAAAGAATGTCAGGAGACGTTTGTTTTTTGTGCCTATTTAAATACCACTGATGTAGCTACGAGATCAACGTGTTAATCTCGCCCAACAATCCTTATTAATCTCACCCCACAATCCTCACTAGTCTCGCCCCGCACTAGTTATTAATCTCTCCCTACACGCGTTACAAATCAGCCTCCACATCTACAACAACCCTTTACCACAGTCGTAACTATTCCTAACCTCAAATCCTTACTATTTCTTGTCCATGTTCGTTACTCCTCCCCTTCCACTCCCGCAACCCTCTCCACACTAATAAGCATGCAACAATCATATGTTCTTACAATAGTTTTGTCATGTAACCTGAAGTTACAGAGTGTTATATGAGGGCACTTGGTGGAAGACACCAGACCACTGCAGCGTGTCCACCGTAGACACTGCAGTACACAGATACCACTGTCTGGGCAGAGTGAAAGGTCACTGACAATGTCAATAACCCCTCGACCATGCTTCGACTGCCTCATGAATTAATGGCCTTTGTATACATGTAAGTCACCACAGCCGGCTCACAAGCAGGTCATTGTGACCTGCCTGTACTGCTGGGCCCCCGAGGGTGAGTGAGTGAGATTGGTTCAACTCCGCTTCGAACACTACTGCATCGAGGCATGTCATCTTTCTGTGGGAAGGGTCTCAAACGTTCGCTGTTAAACCCAACACTGAGAAACAGGTTCCTGCGGAAGGCGTCCTGTCCCGCCACGTTCCTAGTAGTGTATGATACATGAGTGGACCAGCCACCGCTAATGACACTCAACACACCGAACACACACTCCAAGCTATTATTGTTACTCTGCTCCTCCCCCCTCCCCCTACACACACACGTATATTAGCATCAGACATCCCTTGTCCTCCATCCCCCACAAGGGGCGATGGGGTAGCCTAGTGGTCAAAGCGTCCGCTCGTCACGCTGAAGACCCGGGTTCGATCCCCCAAATGGGTACAATGTGTGAAGCCCATTTCTGGTGTCCTCCCCCGTGATATTGCTGGAATATTGCTAAAAGCGACGTAAAACTAAACTCATTCACTCACTCACTTCATCCCCAACAACCATTAAACATCCTTTGTTACAACCATACACCCTTACCACCCATACCTTGAACTCCACCCCACACACTCTCCCGCTGTCTATGCGTCTGACACACATACCCCACTCGCCTGACACACATACCCGTCCCTCGCTACCCTCCTCACCCACACATAACCCCGGCTTCCTCACCTGTTCCAGGGACGACAATGTTGAGGAGGAGGCAGAGGATGGACAGGCTGAGCGGCATGTAGGGGATGGCAGATCTGATCCACGAGTCGTTGCTGCCGACGTGCGCCTTCTGTTTCTCGTCATCTTGTCCGGACGCTGGGATAACGACGGTGGTGGCGTTAGCGACGCGGAAGTCCACAGATTTCCGGGACATGGAGTCGGAAAGAGACAACTTGGTGGAGTCTCGGCGGGACCCAATGGAGAGTCTGTCATCTTTGTCGTCGCTGACGTCGCGGCTCACTGGCGGCGGGACGGCCAAGGACGTCTTGTTTGGCGTCTTCACCGTCGTTGGCGGGCCGTTTAGGACAACGTGTTTAGATTCGGCGTTATTCTGCGCCTGACCCGACCCTTCTTTCACCTTTTTCATGATCGCCCGTGCGAGTATGGATTTGGGTTTGTAGGGTTCAGTGCTGGTTTCCACTACCGGTGGGTCAAGTGGTTTCTTTTCGGTTTCTTTCGGTTTTTCATCTGTCTTCTTATCGTCTTCCTTGTCAGTGGCTTTCACGGACCCGTTTGATAACACCGCCTTCTCTCTCTGTAATGACTTTTGTATCACATTCACCTTCTTTTTGTCAAGTTCGGGAATCTTGCTCTCCTTCTTGACATTAGAAGAAGGCTTCTTGTCTTTGGACACCGGTTCATTCTCCTTAAATTTCACATTCTTACTGTTGTGCTCAATCTTCTCATTTTCGTTAACTACAGAGAAGGTTGTCTCCCCCTTGGCATCAGAGGGAGCCACAGGTTCACTTTTGTCTTTCAGTGCAATATTCTGCGAGCTTCCTGACAAGTTACTCCGGCTCATCCTCGCCGTCGCCTTGTTGTCCTTGTCACGCTTAAAATCAAACTTGTCACCCTTCTTTTTCTTCGAATCGTTAGAGGCGTGATTCTTGTCCTTACCGGTGCCAACTATAGGGATGTAGGAATACTTTTTCTTTTCTATAAGCGGTTTTTTGGTGTCCGACGATGAATCGCTTTTAACACTCGAACCAGTATCTGATTGTAAGGTTTTCTGAGAGTCTGTTTTTGTCAGAAGTGGGTCTGTGTCCTTCACATTAGTGTCCCCGTCTTCGTCCTTCGGGGGCTTCTCGTCCAGTACTCGTGTAGCAGCCTCGCTGGTCGTTAAATCTCCTGGCTTAGAGTCTGTACCTTCGTGTTTCGTTCCTCCGTCGGGTGTGAATGCTCCTTCTTTCGGTTCCATGGGAGCCGCGGTCAAGGTGTCCGTTTTTCCCACACCATTCGGGGAATTTAAACTGTTGACTAGCGATTGAGATTCGGAGGGTTTTTCGTTCCCCGTTTCACCAGCGTCTGGTTTCTTGTCACCATCGAATAGATTCACTTGAGATGCACTCCTTGTACTTACAGGGGGAACTGCTGTGGTGGCGTCTATGACATCACTTGGGTTGACGTCTGCTGCGGCGACATCTGTGACATCACTTGGTTTGTCGTCTGTTATAGCGTAATTTGTGACATTAGTTGATCTGTCGTCTGTTGTGGCGGCGTCCTTCACAATATCACCTGGTTTGTCTTCTGTTGTTGAGGCGTCTCTTAAAGAATCACTTGTTTTGTCTCCTGACGTCTGCTCGCTCAAACCGCCATCTTGTGCCTCCGGTTTGATATTCCCTGATGTCGGCTGTGTCTGATCGTAATCCATATCTGACAAGTCGTTTTTTACACACAAGGAATAATGTCAAGTGAACTTCCACTAGCGCCAACTGGTTTCAACTCCCCCGAGATTGTTTGTCAATGATCACGAGAAAACACAAATACATCAATGATTAATGTCGTCGCGAGTGACACTTTTGTTTACTTATGTAGCGCCATTGTTGGTGTCTCTAGCATCCACTTGAAAATAACACTCCGTTTCTACTATTAACATATTAACAACCACACAACAATCCTTTGAAAATCGAACCTGTTTGAGTGAGAGTCCTGTGACCGTTTCGCCTGTACGACTCCCGGCTCCAAGTGCCGTCACATATTTCCGACTCTGGCGAGTGTTGTCACATGTTGCCGTGTAACTCCGAGTTGAGGAATGTTCAGTCAGAACGGGCTGGAAACCGTCAACTTGACAATGTGTCTGCCGACAAACTGTGGATATCTCGGTCAGCAGGCATCCAGACGTTCGCTACATCTCATCTCACCTCAGCATTCTCCGGCTGACAGTAGGTGGCGCTGGTTGTCTGGGTGCGTACACAAATGGTCACTCCTTACTGACACCAAAGCAGAAGTCATTGATCTTCGATTATGTTGATTGATTTTCCTTCTTTCAAACATCACCACCGATCACCATAGCTTTCTCGCTCTTCGGGTATTATCGGCTCCTGGCGATCTATACCGACTACAAAGGGCTGGTAAATTATGCACAGGCTGGTGTTTTCCCTACGGGCGGGGATTGATCTCTCTGAAAAAAGACACGGCTGAGTTTCTATCGATCAGCGTTAAGGGGTCGATGAGAGTGGTGGTAGTACCGACATAAGAGCTCTGATTCTCTAGATCAATGTTCACCGCACACGACTTACGACAAGTTTACGACTTAAATAGGACTGATTAGGATTAAGGAAACAAATGTCCCACTTTTATGTCAAAAGACTGAGTGAAAAACTTAAAGCAACAAAATCGTTTTCGGAGATTGCAGGACAGGAAGTTATCAGGACTTTTCTCAATCCGACATTTAATCAAGATATAGAGCTTATTATACGAGCGTGTGTGTGATACCAATCATACGAAACCAATGTCTGTATGACACATGCGATAAAAATAGCTCTTTCTACACAGTATTTCACAAAAAGAATCGAATGACGTCACAAATACCTAAATAAAACACTAGTGTACATATGATTTTCATAACCTGGGTTATACTTAACTCTAAGGGCAATATAAGGCAAACATAGAAATACTACTTATTACAAACAGACCCAAGTATGAATATTGTAAAACCGTTTAAAGTTTGCAACTCAGTGAGCAGAGAGAGACGTTCAGGTACATACGGAGATGTTCTACCACGTGACTGACGTATTCATCAGCTATATGTCAAGAGACGGTGTATCACATGACGCTCACACACCATACGACACATCAGGGGATAACAGCCACACACCATACGACACATCAGGGGATAACAGCCACACACCATACGACACATCAGGGGATAACAGCCACACACCATACGACACATCAGGGGATAAAGCCACACACCATACGACACATCAGGGGATAAAAGCCACACACCATACGACACATCAGGGGATAACAGCCACACACCATACGACACATCAGGGAATAAAAGCCACACACCATACGACACATCAGGGGATAAAAGCCACACACCATACGACACATCAGGGATAACAGCCACACACCATACGACACATCAGGGAATAAAAGCCACACACCATACGACACATCAGGGGATAAAAGCCACACACCATACGACACATCAGGGGATAAAGCCACACACCATACGACACATCAGGGGATAAAAGCCACACACCATACGACACATCAGGGGATAACAGCCACACACCATACGACACATCAGGGAATAAAAGCCACACACCATACGACACATCAGGGGATAAAAGCCACACACCATACGACACATCAGGGGATAACAGCCACACACCATACGACACATCAGGGGATAACAGCCACACACCATACGACACATCAGGGGATAACAGCCACACACCATACGACACATCAGGGGATAACAGCCACACACCATACGACATATCAAAGGATGCAAGCGGCACACGTCTTCCACCAACACATTTTAATAATTTATTTCGCGATATTTCATGCCATTGTCACTGTAGACCCACACAGGGGATTACTGCTGACTTGAACAATACCAATATGTGCCTGTACATCGTCTGTGTACTCTTGCAGTCTTGAAAACAGACGCTGGATTGTTGTGGATTACGTAATGCTTACTCTCTGATTGATACCGATCACAGATTGACGCATATAGAACATATTGAAAAGAAGAGTCAGCTGGGTTTAACTCTGCTGTTAAGTTCTATTGTTATGTTTCACAGATTAAAGATAGTATGCAGCAGAGAGGGTTCGGGTGATCCTGGCACAGTCAGGCTGGTAAGGCTCATCATCAGCTCAGGGCCCTTGCCCCCTCTACACGCAGCCCAGACAGCGAATGGGACTTCTCCCAGGAAACGCTGCCTAGTCGAACCCACCAAGAACTTGCCTGAGAATATGAAGGCTCCCCAACACTGCAGCCTTCTGCATTACTCAGAGTGTCAGAAGGGCTGTACTCCCGGTGGAGAACCCGGGCACTCTCCTGATCTGCGCCAAGAGATCAGGAGGTACCAAACCAAGGGCACCGAGAACAATGGGGATCCTGGCGACAGTGTACTTAGGATGCAAGCGAAACATTTCAAAGGCGAGGTCCGCATATTTATCATGCTTTTCCTGAATCTTGCCAATCACATTGGTGTCAAAAGGGACAGAAAATTCAATGATATAAATAAATTCATTGGCTTTATCAAAAAGGACAAGATCAGGTTTGTTGGCTGGAATTCTTCTGAGGCTGTATATGGGCCTAATCCAGAGAAGTTTGAAAGCATCATTTTCCATGACGCCCTGGACATGTTCAGGGTCGTACCATGGATGGACCTCGGAGTCAAAGCCACAGGCATGTCTGAGACGGTAGTAAAAGCAACGAGCTATGCCATCATGTCGTTAAAGATATGCTGTTTGTGCCAAGGAAGGGCATCCAACGACAAGGTGTTGGACAGTCTCCGTGAATTCTTTGCAAAGTCGACATTTCATATTGATATTTTCTTTAAGAATCACACTTAGGCGATTATTATCATTAGCCTTCTGCATTACCCAGAGTGTCAGACTCACCCACACTGCAGCCTTCTGCATTACCCAGAGTGTCGGATTCACCCACACTGCAACCTTCTGCATTACCCAGAGTGTCGGATTCACCCACACTGCAGCCTTCTGCATTACCCAGAGTGTCAGATTCACCAGCACTGCAGCCTTCTGCATTACCCAGAGCGTCAGATTCACCAACACTGCAGCCTTCTGCATTACCCAGAGTGTCAGACTCACTAACACTGCAGCCTTCTGCATTACCCAAAGCGTCAGATTCACTAACACTGCAGCCTTCTGCATTACCAGCAGCCTTCTGCATTACCCAGAGTGTAAGATTCACTAACACTGCAGCCTTCTGCATTACCCAGTCGGACTCACTAACACTGCAGCCTTCTGCATTACCCAGAGTGTCAGATTCACCCACACTGCAGCCTTCTGCATTACCCAGAGTGTCAGATTCACCTAACACTGCACTGCATTACCCCTTCTGCATCAGACTCACTAACATTACCCAGAGTGTCAGATTCACTAACACTGCAGCCTTCTGCATTACCCAGAGTGTCAGACCTCACCAACACTGCAGCCTTCTGCATTACCCAGAGTGTGTCACTGCACTACACTAACAGAGTGTCAGACTCAGAGTGTGGACTCACTAACACTGCAGCCTTCTGTATTACCCAAAGCGTGTCAGATTCACTAACACTGCAGCCTTCTGCACCCAGAGTGTAAGATTCACCAACACTGCAGCCTTCAGAGTGTGCATTACTTTCACTAACACTGCCTTTTGTATTACCCAAAGCGTCAGATTCACCAACACTGCAGCCTTCTGCATTACCCAGAGTGTCAGGCTCACCAACACTGCAGCCTTCTGCATTACCCAGAGTGTCAGACTCACTAACACTGCAGCCTTCTGCATTACCCAGAGTGTCAGACTCACTAACACTGCAGCCTTCTGCATTACCCAGAGTGTCAGACTCACTAACACTGCAGCCTTCTGCATTACCCAGAGTGTAAGACTCACTAACACTGCAGCCTTCTGCATTACCCAGAGTGTAAGGCTCACTAACACTGCAGCCTTCTGCATTACCCAGAGCGTCAGACTCACTAACACTGTAGCCTTCTGCATTACCCAGAGTGTCAGATTCACCAACACTGCAGCCTTCTGCATTACCCAGAGTGTCAGACTCACTAACACTGCAGCCTTCTGCATTACCCAGAGTGTAAGGCTCACTAACACTACAGCCTTCTGCATTACCCAGAGTAAGTAAGGCTCACTAACACTGCAGGCATTACCCTCACTCACTAACACACTGCAGGCCTTCTGCATTACCCAGAGTGTAAGGCTCACTAACACTGTAGCCTTCTGCATTACCCAGAGTGTCACTAACAGGCTTCACATTAAGGCTCACTAACACAGCCTTCTTCTGCATTACCCAGAGTGTCAGGTGAGTCAGCTCACTAACACTGCAGCCTTCTGCATTACCCAGAGTGTAAGGCTCACTAACACTGCAGCCTTCTGCATTACCCAGAGTGTAAGGCTCACTAACACTGCAGCCTTCTGCATTACCCAGAGTGTAAGGCTCACTAACACTGCAGCCTTCTGCATTACCCAGAGTGTAAGGCTCACTAACACTGCAGCCTTCTAACATTACAGCCAGCTACCCAGTGTAAGGCTCACTAACACTGCAGCCTTCTGCATTACCCAGAGTGTAAGGCTCACTAACACTGCAGCCTTCTGCATTAGCCTTCTGCATTACCAGAGTGTACTTCAGCATTGTCAGAGTCTTCTAACACTGCAGCCTTCTGCATTACCCAGAGTGTAAGGACTCACTAACACTGCAGCCTTCTGCAGCCTTCTGCATTACCCAGAGTGTAAGGCTCACTAACACTGCAGCCTTCTGTAAGGCTCACTGCAGCCTTCTGCATTACCCAGAGTGTAAGGCTCACTAACACTACAGCCTTCTGCATTACCCAGAGTGTCAGACTCACTAACACTGCAGCCTTCTGCATTACCCAGAGTGTAAGGCTCACTAACACTGCAGCCTTCTGCATTACCCAGAGCTGGACAGCCTTCAAACCAGGTGTCAGACTCACTAACACTAGCCTCTGCAGAATGTCTGTGTTCTCAAAAGTACTCTGATCAGTCAAAACCTAAACTACACAATGAATAGTTGGGCAGCTTGGTACTTCGTAAGAGAGGTTTTCGTATTTATCCTGCTAATCTTGAATCTTATCAATCGCAAAAGGGACAAAACTTAATGATGCTATAATTTCATTGGTTTTACGAAAAGAAAACTGGTAAGGCCTGGTTTGATGGCTTTAGTACGCCTGATGGTGTATACGGACCTGCTCCAAAGATGGAGTCAAAGTCACAAGCATGGCGAATACTGTAATCAAGATCAGTTCACCTCACATACCAAAGCTGGGCATCCAATCAGGATGTGCTCGTTAAATTCATTACATAATCTACATTTCATATT